GAGGACAAGAGGTTTGAGGAGCAGGAAAGAGAAGATTATTAATTTGCCAGCAAATGAGAAGAACGGCAGACTCTCCTCTTAAAATACCATTGTCCTTCCTATAAGCAGAAATACAGAGCTTTTAAGGGGGGGGGGGTTTCAGCTTCAGGCTATTGACGTTTAACTATAGTTGATGATTCTGGATTGACCCCATCTCCGGAAAAGACAATCTCCTGTGACCTCTGCCTGGACAATTCCCTTGAGCCATCTCCTGTGGTACAAAAAGCCAAGGACACTCTCCTGCCCCTCTGATTGCCGGCCTTGGGCAGGGATGCAGGTTTTAGTTCCCAAAAAGGGTGAGGGGGTTTTAAAGAGGCAGCTCATAAAACATTTTACCCTCTTTCAGGCCATTACCTCTGTTACACTTTCATCGAGGCTCCTTGATCCTGGAGTCTCAAGACCTCTCCAAGGGATTTCAGTAAGTGGACAGATGTTAGCACTGCCAGTGTTACACACTGTGGGAGGTGGAGGTGGAGGAGGCAGTAGTGAGGCTGTAATGAGAAAGCCTGACCCCCCCTTGCTATAACAGACATTTCCTGGCCACCTGGGCCAGGACAGTTCTTTATGCAGGTGGCCTAGAAACCCTGGGCTCAGTTCATTCAGTAGCATCCCTGGAAGGCCACTTGGAATCTTCCACAGTTGACCCTGGGAGGAAACAGCACAGCATGTAATTCAGAAGTGGTACAAGCTGCAGAAATTGATATGAAATCAGCCAAAAAAAAGAAAAATCAAATATTCTTACAAAAAAATATATCAAATGTTCTAATCTTTTAAAATGCTTTTAAGCATATATGCTTTCTCCCCTCTTTTTCATGGGGGGGGAAGAAAGAAACCAATAGAAAATATGTTTAAATGAATAAAACAATTGCTGAGGTTGCCTTTAACTCCACAGAAGAGGTTGTAATTTCAATTTGATGTAAAATATTACCTCTGCTCATGGCCATCTTAGAACATTTATTTCCTTTTGGTGGTGAGTGAAATGAAGCATTCATTTAGCAAATCAAGCAATTTATCAAGTGTGAAGTGATTATACCCGTACAGTGTATGACAATTGAAACATGCTATACAAGATTACCATGTGTTACCACTGTGTTCCAATGTTCTGCTTTTCCTCTTTGGCAGTTAAGCCTGTGTGTGCGGTCTCTCTCTGTCTCTGTCTCTGTCTCTGTCTCTGTCTCTCCCTCTCCCTGCCCTCTCTCTCTCTCTCTTCCCCTGTCCCCCCGCCTCACCCTTTCACCCCTCTGTCACCCACACCCACACCCACAAACCCTTCCCAAAGAAGAGAATCACCTGATTCTAGTTATTTCAAGGGCTTGTATAAGAAGTTAATCAATCTCTAGGGAAGCCCCACTGCTGGGCACTCTAGCCCAGAAATTTCTCTCAAAGAATTATAATTCATAAGGAGTTCTCCGTTTTGGAAAGAGGATAAATTGCTTAGGACAGGTTCCATTTTAAGCTGTGTGGTGTGAAATGTAAAAATGTAATAAATGGACCAAATATCTGGAGTCCTTTGGATAACTTCATTTTTTCACTTAATGTATGTTGAACTCTGGCTGGGCTCTAGATAAAATTGGAAGCAAAATTACTTTACAACTACATCATAGACTAGTATGTAGCCATTCAAAATGATTGTGTATACCTATATTTATTGACCTGGAAGATGTTCATAGTATGGAAAAGGGTAGGTTATAAATAATTTATGAACCCATTGAAATATATTTCAGAGAAAAAATCTGAAAAGTTCTACATCAAAATGGTAAATTTTATATTATATATATTTCACTATAATAAAAAAAGTAACAGTGGCTACATCTGGATACTGTTTTTTATTTTTTATTTTATTTTTTTAGGCCCCTAGCTTTGCATGGATGGATGCTGGGTTTTTTTATTATTACTTATTTGTGTTTTTTAGCTTTTCTGCAATGAATATGTGAAAACTAAATAAATGAAATACTGATTAAAAAGAAAAGGAAAAACTAAAAAATTAAGTCTGATTCTTTTTTTAAGGCCATCTGATTCACTTCTCACTGCAGCTTTCCCTCCGTCCACTCCCCAGCGGGAGCCAGCCTTTGTGGGTCACTTTCTGAAGTCTGTCCTTTAAGGCAACAATGCTGTTGGACTGGAAGCCAGGAGAGCCCCACTCTAATAGGGCAGGGAGCTGGGCTAGGAATGGGAAACAGTGAGAATGTGAATCAGGCTGAACATTTCAGGACCCTCTTAAAATACGAAAAAATGACTTTTTGCATTCCAAAAATAATACAGTAAGTCAAGTCGTCAAGTCTTGGGAGGAAGCTTTCCTCTGAACAGTGAAATCTGGAAAAGGTACAGGAAGTAAAATACTTGAAAGATACCCAGCAAAGATTTCTTTTGGCCAACAACATTCAGTAGATAACAGCTGTTTCTGTGGCTATTTTTGTAAGTTAACACAGACCAAAAAATGGCATCTCACTGGGTGCATTCATTTCCTAACAGTTCACGACATGGCACCAGATCTGTCCTTGTTGCCATCTAATGATTCAAAGCAGTCTCCCCATCAGCATTTCTAGTCTCTGAAATAAAAACACAGGAATTACAGGGAAGCAGAGTGAGTGCTCTGGGATGCGGAGGGCTTTTCTTCCATTGCTTTGCAGTTTGGAAAGTTGCCATCCATTCAGGTTTCACTCAAACCGGCTTTTTCCAGACCCCAGAACAAATTGTAGCCAGTAGCTCTGCTCTTTGTCAGGAGGCAATTGCAACCCATTTAGCCAGGATCTTGCCCTCTTTCCTTAGAAAACAACTTCTCTGAATAGGGATCCTGGCTCTCTTTACCCAGGGGGTAGGATACAGTCCCTAGTTCTCACCAGAAAGACCCCAACTGTCCCAGGGTTTCCATTTTGTTTTTACCATTACCCATGTTATATCTGGGTCTCTGGATATCACACTTTCCTAACATCAGTAACTGAAATGTCTCACAGGCTGGGTGCTGTGGCTCACGCCTGTAATCCTAGCACTCTGGGAGGCTAAGGCGGCAGGACCGCTTGAGCTCAGGAGTTCAAGGCCAGCCTGAACAACAGTGAGACTCTGTCTCTACTAAAAATAGAACAATTATCCAGGCATTGTGGCCTGCACCTGTAGTCCCAGCTACTCGGGAGGCTGAGGCAGAAGGATCGCTTGAGCCCGGGAGTTTGAGGTTGCTGTGAGCTAGGCTGATGCCACAGCACTCTAACCCTGGGTGACAGAGTGAGACCCTGTCTCAAAAAAAAAAGAAATGTCTCACAGTCTTTCCTCATTTTTTTTTTCCTCTTTAGCTAAATAAAGCAAAACAAATAGGCCCTGTCTCCATTGTCTGAGACCCCAAGCAATTAACCTTTTGAGGACCTGCACACAGGTTAGAGATCTAGGAACCCACAAAGGTTACACTGAATTTAACCCCTTGCACAGGAAGTTAAAGCTAGGAAGCTTGGTTCCTATTTTGTGATCAGATACTACTTTCCTTTGTTAGAGATCAACTTTCCTTCCTTTTAAGGAAAAGAGGCTCTTATACAATAGAATCATTAAAGCAATCCTGTTGACTACAAAGAGAGTAAAGTAGCTGTTCTTTATCTTGAATGTGGTGGCAGTTGCATGACTATATGGGTGTCAAAACATAAAACTATCTACAAAAATGGCTGATTGTTACTGTATATAAATTATACCTTGATTAAGAACACCAACAATATGGTTGGTCCGAGTGCAGTGGTGTTTACAACTAATTGATCACAACCAGTTACAGATTCCTTTGTTCCTTCTCCACTCCCACTGCTCCACTTGACCAGCCTTAAAATGAAAAAAAAAAAAAAAAAAAGAACACCAACAATAATCTGGTTTACTAACATAGAAAAATATGTAAAATGTAACACTAAGGGGGGGACAGGAGAGGGTTGCATCTATAAAGTTTATGTGTACATATGAATAAGGAAAAGGAGGAGATCAGAAGAATTTACAACTGTATCCTGTTGAATGAGGAGATAATTTTTTCCTTTTAAAAGTTTCTTTGTAATTGATGCTGTGAGTTTTGGAGCTGCAAATACTTTTTTTTTTTTTTCGAGATAGGGTCTTACCCTGTCACCTGGGCTAAAGTGCAGTGGCATCATCATAACTGACTGCAACCTCCAACTCCTCAGCTCCAGGGATCCTCCTGCCTCATCCTCCTGAGTAGCTAGGACTACTGGCATGCGCCAAGACACCCAGCTAAGTTTTGTATTTTTTGTAGAGATGGGGCCTGGCTCTTGCTCTGGTTGGTCTTGAACTCCTGGCTTCAAGCGATGGTCCTGCCTCAGCCTCCCAAACTGTTAGGATTACGGGCACTTAAAGATGAGGGTTTGTTATATTTATTAAAATGTATGGAGCTGTACACTTCAAATGAGTTCGCTTTAGGCACATTATGTTGTATGTCAATTTAAACATTTCTTAAGAAAGCTTAAAAGTTCTGGGTAGTGGTCACAGGGTGTATTTCCAAATGAAAAAAAATTCAGCTACTTAAAATTTGTGCAGTCTACCGTAATTATACCTCAATAAAATAGCGCTGTGGTGGACTAGTGGTCAAGCCGCCGGCGATCTATTCACCGGATTCACCCTAGAACAGGCCTCCAGGGCCATACCCGACCCCTGCAGTACACGCTCCCGCGCGGCCTGCGGCGGGGGCGTCTGTAGGGGGCGTCCGAGTCTCGGCGGGGGGGGGTGCATCCCGCGCAAAGGCCGTCGGCTCTCGGGCACCCGCAGCCTTCTGGCCCACTGGGGAGGGTCGTGGGCGTCCCAGCCCCTCAACCCAGCAGCCCGCCAGGGAACTGCCGTCTCGAGCGACCCCTCCACTACACACCGCCAGGGCCGCGCTAACGTCATCGCCTCCCCGCCTCGCGCGGCCGTTCCCTCCCCGCCCTCTCTCCCGGCGTGCACCGCGGCGGACGCTCCTCGCCCTCGGCTTCTGCCTGTCGCCCCAAGATGGCGGACACAATGAGCCGGCGTCTCGCCGGTTGCCCCTGAGGCGGCTGAGGACGAACAGTCAGCTAGGCCCCACAGTCAAGGCAGAAGAGCGTCGCCCAAGCAGGAGGAAGAGGAGGAGGCGACCCAACTGTCGGCCGCCCTCCCGCCGGCCCGGCGCCTGCCCCGCTCGGGTTGGCCCCTCGGCAGCCCGCCCGCTCGCTCGCCGCCGGGCCCCGCCCCGGCCCTGCGTCGCCGCTGCCTCCAGCAGCCGCCGCCATGAAGCTGACCGACAGCGTGCTGCGGAGCTTCCGCGTCGCCAAGGTGTTCCGCGAGAACTCGGACAAGATTAACTGCTTCGATTTCAGCCCTAACGGCGAGACGGTTATCTCGAGCAGCGACGACGACTCCATCGTGCTCTATGACTGCCAGGAGGGCAAGTGAGTGCGGCGGAGGCCCTGGGCCCGGATTTGAGTCCCTCCCTTCCTCCGGTAGCCCACCACTGGCCCCGCGGTCCGCCCTCCGTCCCGACTTCAACCCCGGCCTGTTTTGCACTGTCTCCTACAGGGTTGCCTCCACCTCGCAGATGTCCAGGAGACCTTTTTTTCCCCTTTTTTAAAAAAATAATGATTTTCGTAATAATAATAGCATTATTGTTTCGTGTGGCTTTGGTTTCCCCAGAACGCTTCTGCATCTTGCCAAACCCCACCTTGACCTTGACCTTTAAACGCCCTGACCACCCACCCCAGCCCCAGTCTGTAGCTTTTTCGGCTCCTCAGGCTTTCAAAGGTACTAGTCGGCTCTGAGTCGCGACGCAGGTCTGCAGGGGCTGTTCTCCTGCCTCATTCAACAGCGTCAACTCTCTCATCTGCCCTCCCCGCTATGACCTCGATTCAGCCCTGGCACTCCGCCCATCCCCTGCCCCTCAGCTTCCCGCGGCCTTTCTGCCGTCAGGCTGCGTAGGTGCAGTTCTTAGCTGTCAGGATGGATTTGTTGTGCTTCTTCGAGCCCCCTGGCTTTTTCTTCCTCTTCCAAGCTTTTCTCTTACTCCCTCAGACGCGGTGCCCACGTTTATAGTGAACTTTTTAACAACATAAAAAACTTCCTTTTTGCCCGATACAAACGAACTTGGCTGTCCCATCCGACCTGAATGTGAGCTTCCGTTAAAACAAAGAAAGCATCATAGAACAATTTCGGGTTTATACTTTTTTTTTTTAATTACACTTTATGGTCCATTTGGAATTCCAAGACTGATGAAACTTTTATGTTGCCTCAAGCCATTTGGAGACCCACCACACCTGCATCTCTTTGCAAAATCTAGGCACAGCTTTTTGCCTTTTTCTCTGGGGGCCCTGTCAGCCTTGCCTCATCCCACCCCTGTGAACTTGCTCAAAGTCTTTGCTTAGTTGTGAGTTCCTTTAGAGACAAAACTGGTTCAGGTTAAATTTGATTTCCTCTCAGCAAGCAGGCTTGCTGAGGTTTAGTTTAATTGGGTGGCTACTGGTTTTGTCAGACTTCGTTTTGTTACCTAGTAACAGATCTTATTTTTTGAAATCTTAGGTTTTTCTCTACCTTCTCCAGCTGTTCATTTTGCCTTTTTTTTTTTTTTTTTAAACCTATGTCTCTCTTTTGGAGCGTGTCTCTTCATTTGTGAATTTGATTATCTAAAGTAATGCTGTTTTGAATTGAGCTAGAATGGTATCCCAATTTTTTCCTACTGGGACTATGAAAAAGTATTATGTAATTGGCTCTGAACTGTCTTCGGTATGTGTAAGAGTGGCCTACGGTGGTGGTCCAGGGGGAGAAGGAATTGTTTGTTAGTTGGAAGGTTACTTAGTTATTTGAGTCAGTGTTATTCATTTGGTAGATGGATTTCTGCCCACGTCTGGTCACTTGGATGAGTTTAGAAGAGGGAGTAACCTTTAAAGCTGGGGTTGGGGTCAGGATTGAGGAGTCCTGGATTGTGGCATCCTGGAGTGAGAGGTAATTTGAAGCTGGCTTGCTTAAAATATTTAGTGCTTGTGCACAGATTAGAAGAACCTCTCCCTGGAATGTGAGGATAGGGACATATATCATTCAAAGGAAATGAAGGTGGTTGTGATAGCGGTTCTTCACAGTTTGTATCCAAATGTAGTATAATTTTGAAGGATGACAGTGACATGAAGTCCTGTCCTGTTAAAAGTAAAATGCCAGTTTTATGACATAATGCAGTTTATCAACTTGTGTAGCATTTTTGTATAATTACAAACTTACAGAAAGTTACAGCGGTGTTTCACAGAATTCCCCATATAATTCGACCATTGGTTACATTTTCCTCATTTGCTTTATCTCTGTGTAGGTAAATGTTTATGTGCACTGTATGCATTTTTTTTTTTTTTTTTTTTTTTACTGAACCATTAGAGAGTAAGTTGGAGATATCAAGCCCCTTTATCCCTAAACAGTTCAACATGGATTTCCTAAGCACAGAGACATTCTTTTACATAACCACATCACAATTATCTAAATTAGGAAATTTAATATCAATACAATACTACAGGGCATGCTCTTTTGAATTTTCTCTAATCAATTAATTGACTTGGTTTCTTTGTGATCTGTGATGAGGGAGTGGCCTGGTATTTAGGAGACCTGGGTTCTAGTTTGGCCTTGTGACCAGGTATGTGACATTGATCAAATCCTTCTCTGGATATTAGATGACCTCTTTAGCCTCCATGATTCTAAGTGGTAATGTGAAGCAAAACTTTGTCACTAGTGTTGCTGCATAAATTAATATAAAAATATTGGAGACAGAAACGTCTCAGTTTTGCAGAACTTTGTTCTGAAGGAATATGTGAACGTGTTAGTTTGCATATCGAAAGCTGTTTCACCTCAGGAGGGCATCTCTGAAAGACAGTAGGGCTGAATCCCACAAGGCCCTGCATTTCTCAGACCTAAAGGTTTGGATTTGCTTTGTAAAAGCAAAGCAGATCTGTTAAAAACTACAGGATGAGGCCGGGCGCAGTGGCTCACGCCTGTAATCCTAGCACTCTGGGAGGCCAAGGTGGGCGGATTGTTTGAGCTCAGGAGTTCGAAACCAGCCTGAGCAAGAGCAAGACCCCATCTCTACTAAAAATAGAAAGAAATTAATCGGACAACTAAAAATATATAGAAAAAAAAAATTAGCCGGGCATGGTGGCACATGCCTGTAGTCCCAGCTACTCAGGAGGCTGAGGCAGGAGGATTACTTGAGCCCAGGAGTTTGAGGTTGCTGTGAGCTAGGCTGACGCCACCTATAAATGACCATGTAAGACTTCATTCGAGGCCTTTGAGATCGATGGAGAAATCCAGGCCCCCTGAGCACCCGCTTTGCCTATAATCTTTATAAATCTATAAAACTATACCTTCATCTCTGTGTATTCTTTTATTTCCATTATTTTCCATTCTCTATTATTTTCTTATCCCTTGCAACCCTACCAAAGGGACCGGTTTTTTGCAGGGAGCGTGGCCGCACTCCCAGCACACTAGTGTAGGTCAAACCAATATGTGAAGAAATGCCTTCCCTAGAAGGCATGATATCTTTATGTGATAATACTAATGTTAGGATTTGGAGTTTGAAAATGGCTAAAACAAGATTTTTTTATGCTTAGTCTTTTCCAGTTTACTGTTCAGACTTTCTTTGTAGTGGAGTTTATCCATTGAGTGATACTTCCACTTGGAAGGCTATAAAGGATATTGTTTGTGGTAGGAGATGCAAATTACTCAAAGGCCTTAATATTATTTTCTTTGTTAATACCTGATCACCAGAATCATAGTTTGAGGAGAAAAGCTTACCAAAATATTTGAAAAATGTTGTACATGAACTTTGTAAAGACCCCTGAAATGGATGCAGTACCTTAGAATCTTGCTTTCAAACTAGGAAATAAAATGAGGTAATTGATTTCTTTTATTAGGAACAAATCTCAGGTTAGTGTTTTTAATAAATTTGAGGTAAATAGGCCATGTCTGTGTGAAAGTACACTGTTTAACTCTTCAGGTTAAAGAAAAATTGGCTCTTCATGTTCTGTCTTTACTATTGTAGGTGGGGTGAAATACTAGTATAAACTTCTTCCGCTGGTAGAAGCAGTCAACTGTCTAGAAAGCAAGTGGACAGTCACATACTCAGACTCACTTTCTCACTGGTTACCACACAGTAACCTCACAGCAGAACCCCAGACAGTGGACTCCACAAGGTAGCCTTTGCTGATCTTAGGGGTGAAGTATTATTTCAGTAAAGGTAAGAATGTGGAAAAATCCAGTGCATTTGTAGTGAGAAGTCTTGTTTGGAAATAGATTTTATGTAGAGAAGCACTTAGCCTTACTGATATTAACAAAAATTGAAAGTGCAAATGATTGACTTCTTAAGGCTGCCTGAGTCATCTGATTGTTTAGCATACAGATTCCAAGAGGATTTTACATTGAGAGGGTAAACTTTCCTTTTCATAAATTGGAGCTCTTAGTAAACATTGGTAGAGGATTTATGAAATCCTTCTAAGACCTAAATGTAGAACATTATGTTAAAGGCTTTCTTGTTTCTGACTTGGTACATGTTGGAGAGTTGTTCTAGCATTTGAATCTAGTTTTACAGAGACATTTAGGTGAAACCTTTTTTTTTTTTTTATCTGACTTAAGTGGTGTGTGACAAGGTTTTTGGTTAAAGATTTTGCCGAGATCAGTTGTAGCTTGATCTTCAAGGTTCTATAAGAGGAAGACATTTAAGGACCTTCAACAAATGGATTGGTAACATCAAATTTGAAAATGTGTGATTTTACATTAAAATAAAAACAAAAGAGCCATTGACTAGTTTTGCTGGGGAGAGTTAGGCTTGCCTTCTAAAAGGCAAATGCTTTGGATCTATAGAACAGGGAGGTTGGATATCTTCTGCAAGGGCTGATTATATTAGGAAAGGCAAGCAGTTTTGCATCTGGTTTCAGTTTTGATAAATCACTGCCTTCTTGAAGAAAGAGCTACTTTCTAAGTGAATGCCGTAAGAAAAGTTCTGGCATCTTGAGTTTGACATATTTTCACCCCTCGTCGTTGTAAGTTATGACTTGTTTTGTATGCTTTTCTTCCCAAATAGATATATGGCCATGTGTTACTTAACCATAGGGATTGTTAAGTGTTTTTGTCATTTTGCCAACATTATAGACTGTATTTATACAAACTTAGATGGTATAGCCTACTACACACCTAGGCTATATGATATGATATTGCTCCTTGGCTACAAACCTGTGCAGCATGTGACTGTACTGAATACTGTAGGCAATTGTGACACAGTGGTATTTGTATATCTAAACAAAGAAAAAGTTTTATACGGTAAAAATAATGTATAAAAGATAGATAATGCCCTGTACACCTGTTTAGGGTAGCTCTGTTTTAATCTTACGAGACCACCATCGTATATGCAGTCCCTCATTGATTGAAATGTCATTATGTGGCACGTGACTGTTTTTTCCTCAAAAGCTTACTTTTGAACATTGTAGTAAATCGAATCCCTAGACTTACTTCTACTTCCTACCTAACCTTGGCATTAGGTGTTCCGAGGTGAAAGTCTTCTTTAGATGGCTGTTCCACTTGATTGGTTATTGTTTTCTCCCTTTTGGAAGAAATTCTGTTTCTTTCCAGGGTTAGAGCTCACCAACAATCCTTACCTTTGCCACATCATTCAAGTGCTACTCTTCATTTTTTTTTTCTTTGCCATTCCTCTCTCAAGTGCTTCTCTTTATATGGAGATCACAGATTTTTTAGGTGAAACTTTTTTTTTTTTTTGTCTGACTTCAGTGGTGTGTGACAAAGTTTTTGTTTGTTTTTTTTTTTGAGACAAAGTCTCACTGTGTTGCCCAGGCTAGAGTGCCATGGCGTCATCCTAGCTCACAGCAACCTCAAACTCCTAGGCTTAAGCGATCCTCCTGCCTCAGCCTCCCGAGTAGCTGGGACTACAGGCATGCGCCACCATGCCCGGCTAATTTTTTCTATATATTTTTAGTTGTCCGATTAATTTCTTTCTATTTTTAGTAGAGACGGGGTCTCACTCTTGCTCAGGCTGGTTTCGAACTCCCAAGCTCAAACAATCCGCCCGCCTCGGCCTCCCAGAGAGCTAGGATTACAGGTGTGAGCCACCGTGCCGGTCTGACAAAGTTTTTGGTTAAAGATTTTGCTGAGATCAGTTTTAGCTTGATCTTCAAGGTTCTATAAGAGGAAGACATTTGAGGACCTTCAACAAATGGATTGGTAACATCTAGTTTGAAAATGTGTGATTTTACATTAAAATAAAAACAAAAGAGCCATTGACTAGTTTTGCTGGGGAGAGTTAGGTTTGCCTTCTATCTAAAAGGCAAATGCTTTGGATCTATAGAGAATTTTGATGGTTTTCTTTTCTCTGTCCATTTCCTCATCAGACCAAAGAGAACCTTGTACAGTAAGAAATATGGTGTGGACCTCATCAGATACACTCATGCAGCAAACACAGTTGTTTACAGCTCTAACAAAATAGACGGTAAGCAAGCCTTTTTAGGATGTTATGGTCATGGTTTCCTTTGTTAAATAGTTCACGGAATCTTTGTGACTACTTCTGTTTGATCATAGTTACTTTAGTTTAAATATTTCCTATGGTGTTAGCAATGCTAATTATATTGTTGTAACTGAAAGAATGCTGGAAGCAAGCCTTTAGCACTTTGGAAGGACTTGAAACTGAGTGTAAAATGTCTCCAATTTAGAGTGGGGAGTGGGAAGAGGAAGCAAGTAATTGTATTTATGGTTTGTACTTCTTTAAACTTAAAAGAATACTTGACACACAAGTGGTAAACAATAGGACTTTGCATTCAAAATATATAGATTTGAGAAAAGTTTTCACAAATGCTTGAGCTATGATAGTTTAAAGAAAGTTAGAAGAGTTTTTGGTGTTTGCCCAACCTTTTATGGTCTGTGTCATAAAGTTAAGTAAAGTATACTAACCGTAAGTCATTTTTGATTCCAGGAACATTTTTTGATCTGAATTTTATCCCTTTTCCCTTTTAAATACAACTAATACCTTTGAAGAGTAGAGTTATTTTTTTTTAGAAATTAAACTTGTTAATTTCTTCCTATAATAAGTGGTCTCTGTATTTACCTGCAATTCCCCTGGGGTAAGCCCTTCTAAGTTGATAGATTGATAATTGAGCTGTAACCTTTCTTTTCTTTTCTTTTAAACTCCTGTACTATTAAGTAACACTTATTTTCGATTTGGAATTTTTTTTTTTAACTTATGGCTTATTGATCATTTCACTTTTTGGAGTAAGATTTTTCTAATGTCATTCAACAAGAATTGGCTCAGACTGCTATTTTGGCCTTGCCTATCTCAGAGCAGGTGGGCAGAAGTCCCTTTTTTTTTTTTTTTTTTTAGTGAGCCTTTTCTGCCTGTACTGGATTTTTAGTTAAGTATATCATTTCTACTTTTCATGCCTCTATTTCAGAAGTGGTTTTCTAAGTAAGCAGAGCAGTTGATGCTTTTGGACAAGTATATGAAAACATTAGGATCCTGAGGAAACATGTCTATGTGATCATCTGAATGACTGGTATATTTCTTCTGTTGGGCTGTTTTTCTGAGTGATTAAATGAGGATTCTCCAAATGTGGTGCAAGATGAGGCAAATGTGTGGCACTTGCAGCTTTGCTGCCAGGCCTCTGCTGTGAGGATGTTGCCTTTCCTGTCTCGAGTGCATCCTGAAGAGTTCCTCCAGCGCTCCGTTTCCTTTGCCTGATTCCAGGCTGAGGTAGTAGTTTGTACAGTTTGAGGGTCTATGATACCACCCGGTACAGGAGATAACTGTACAGGCCACTGCCTTGCCAGGAACAGCGCGCCAGCTACTGAGTGGGGCGGAGAGGATGGCGTCGCCCTGCTCATCTCTGGGAAACCAGGTAATGGGGAGGAAGTCTGTCTTCTTAGGGCAGGTGAGTAATGCTTAGCACCAGAACAACCAGGAATACTTTGTAGTTGTCATTCAAGAAGTTTGAAGATGTTTTCAAGGAAAACCATGTAGAGTTCAGTTATGGAACATAGAATGCCCTTTTCCCCTCCCAGATTAAATACCTTCTTATTAGAAAGCACCTTTGTGAACCACTGGGAAGACTTGGTGCTTTCAACCTCTTTATTCCTGTGTGCTGTGTGCCTTCAGAATGTTCTTTCTGTGCTTTTCTTTCTGCGTTTCTACACCATTTCCTATTACCTGTTTCTCAACAATAATTTTTCCTTATTCCTATTCTTTTTAGGGGCATAGTAGTTTCCTACTTTCCAGTTCTATTCTTTATGGCACTTCATTTCCCTCCTACCCCCATCCTGTTTGTTTACTTTTTCAAATTTGGTTTTTAAGAGTGTCTTATTTTCCTCAAGAACAAATTTCTGTAATTATTCCTTTCTTTAATATTGTCAAAATCTCAACTGCTGTGACTTGTTGGTATATGAGTTTGACTTTTTAAATGTCTTAAGATCTTTTAACCCAAATCTCAACATTACTTCTCTTTCCATTTTGTTTAGTTTCAAGGTAAATTGTGTATCCACTTGAACATTCAAATGGGTCAGGGTTGGGTTAATACAGTTAGAGAGAATCCTGGACAAATTTGCTGCCAGGGTCCAGCCTGATCTTCAGCTTAGCGTGGCTGCTTACCTCTTTGAGCCTGTTTCCTTAGCAGCCAAATATTTTTCTTTAAGGTTTGCCATTCTGTGGGCAGTAGACCAATGTGTAAAACTATTGGCTTTTTTTGTTTTGTTTGTTTTTTGTTTTGTTTTTGGCTAGAGTACATTTGCAAGGCAAGTTGCATTTTAATTATGAAGAAGTCAAAGATTGGTAGTAAAACAGTGATTTCAAACATTGTTTTCTATGTTGTCAACTTAAGAACTCTACTTTTGAGCTATGTGAAATCTACATACCAACTCTTCAGTTGCAGAGAGGAATTATTCACCATTATTTATTCACACCTTGCTTGCGTTATGGAATACAGTGAGTTCTTTGACCTTGTCTTTTCAAGATGAAGATGCAAAGTAAATTCCTTTTAAATAGTACAGTATCATCATACCTTATTTGTCTTCTTACAGATACTATTCGTTACCTGTCCTTGCATGACAACAAATACATCAGATACTTTCCTGGACATAGCAAAAGGTAAGACCCAAGTGTTGTAGAAGTAGATAATTCTTTTATCCCTGAGGTTACCCAGAGAATAGAAGAGTGGAGACATTGTATTAGTGAACTGAAGCTACTTCCTAATGTTGTTTGGCATTCCTCTTCATCTTTTCTTGTTAACCCTTCTTAAATAGTCTCTTGGTTTACAGAAGTTATGGAAGCAAGGGTAGTACTTCAGAGATAAAGTGAAATCTCAGTTAAAATATAATTAGAAAAAAATGTTGATTAAAGATATTCGGTGAAAGCCTATGTATTAATAGTAAAAATTACATTTGGCATTTAGGTACACCAAATCTCAGATACCCCTTAATAAAAGGATCATTTGTGTTTATGAGGCCTTCCAATATACGTGGCCCCCATTTCAGCACGCCTCTACATAAAAATGTTCTATTTGAAGATCTTAATTTGGATGCAAAAGAAAAAAAAAGTCCTTTGTTGCTTTTACAGTTAAGAAGTTTATCTCTTTATTGCTATACTGTAATGCAGGTTGCTTCTTTCTGATCCTCATTCCACTGTCTCCAATTTTTTTTCACCCCATCTCTCAACATCCTGCTTCAGCATCCAATGTTACAATTCTAACTGCTTCATAATCTCCCTTAATGGTTCTCCACGTCTGCCTGCTCTTTCCTGTTGGAGTCAGGTTCTACCCCTTCTGGCTCTGACCCATTTTCCCAGCATTTTCTCTCGCCACTCCAGTTAGGTGAACTCTGGGCTATTTCCTAAACATGGACCTCATGCCTTCTCGTCTGGTACCTTTCAGAAAGGTGTCTCCCTTTGAAACCTTGTCCACCACAAATGTTGCTTCTTCCAGAAAACCTTTCTTGGCCCTCTTTTGGTGTTGTGTGAACCAGACAGTTAAGCTTCCTTAGGGTCAGGATCTTGCTTCTCCTTATGTTCCCTGTACTTCTCAGCATAGAGCCTTATACCAGGATAAACCTTCTCTGAGCTCTTGAGCTGAATGCCGTAGCATGAAATTACATGTACACAAGCTTTCTGCTCACTCTGTTTTATTTTTTAAATTTTTAAGTTGAGGAGCTAGTACAAATGTTAGTTGAGTTATAAGTATGGTGCCCAGACCAACAGCCTCACCATACCTGGTAACTTGTTAGAAACTCAGATTCACAGACCCCAGCCCAGACCTACTAGATTAAAAGCTCTGGGAGCAGATCCCAGCAATCTGTTTTAACCCACCCTCCAAGTGATGCTGACGCCACTCAGGTTTCAGAACATTGGTATAGTCCACAAATGTCTTGTTAAGCAATTGCGCTGTCTTTTTTCAAATTGATGTATAGTTCACGTACCATAAATTGTCCCTTTTAAAATATACAACTCAGTGGTTTTTACTGTATGCACAGAGTTGGGCAACCATCACCACTATCTAATTTCAGAACATTTTCATCAATACAAAGAGAAACCTTGTGCCCATTAGCAATCACTCCCTTACTTAGCCCTTGGCAATCACTAATCCACTTTCTCTGTATATAAAGTTCCCTATTCTAGACATTTGGTATAAATGGCTTTTATGTCTGGCTTCTTTTACTTAGCATGGTGTTTCCAAGGTTCATCCATGTTGTCATATGAATCATACTTAATCCCTTTTTATTGCCAAATAATATATCATTGTATGGATGTACCACATTTTGTTTATTCTTTAGTTAATGGACATTTGGGTTGTTTGCACTTTTTGGCTATTATGAATAATGCTGCTATGAACATATGTATACAATTTTATGTGAATATATATTTTTAGTTCTCTTGGGTATATACCTAGGAGTGGAATTTCTGGATCATATGGTAAACTATCTTTTTGAAAAAACTTTTCCAGAGCAACTGTACCATTTTTTCATTTCCACCAGCAATGTAGAAGGGTTCCAATTTCTCCACATCCTCACCAACACTTGTTATCACCTCTCTTTTTTATTAATAGCTGTGGCTAGTGGGTGTGAAGTAGTATTTCATTGTGTTTTTGATTTGCATTGGAGTCATACATTTTTTATGCTGTAATTTTAAGTTGCTTTATTCATTATACTAGTTGTCTTTGGTTATTCCAGGTATGCTTGTGTATGTGTGTTTTAGTGTGTTTCTTAAAATGGCAATTTTGGGAGAACAGGTATATATAGATAGAGTTGTTTAGAGTTCACATCCAATTTTTGCTAATGTTTTGCTTCAACTCCTGTTTATCTTGATGCATTGCAGGGTGGTGGCCTTGTCCATGTCACCTGTGGATGACACTTTCATTTCTGGGTCTCTTGATAAGACCATTCGACTCTGGGATCTCCGGTCTCCTAACTGCCAGGTAATGGTACTTCGAAGTTGTGTCTTTGAGCTTTTTCTATGGTAGGCATTATCATCAACTCTACCTCTCAAGGAAGGTTGAAAGCAGTGGTTCCATTCTGGGATCCCAGAGTCTTTTTTAAACTTTGGAGAAAACCTATTTTCCTGGTAGGAAAGCAAATACCCTAGTCTAGTGCACATTGCATTATACCCTACGACTTAGTGTTGTTTGTTTGTTTTTTTTGAGACAGAGTCTTACTCTGTTGCCCTGGCTAGAGTGCCGTAGCGTCAGCCTAGCTCACAGCAACCTTAGACTCCTGGGCTCAAGCAATCCTATTGCCTCAGCCTCCCAAGTAGCTGGGACTACAGGCATGTGCCACCATGACCGGCTAATTTTTTCTGTATATTTTTAGTTATCCAGATAATTTCTTTTTATTTTTTTATTTTTTTTTTAGTAGAGACAGGGTCTTGCTCTTGCTCAGCCTGGTCTCGAACTCCTGAGCTCACACATTCGGCCCGCCTCGGCCTCCCAGAGTGCTAAGAGCGACTTAGTGTTTTAAAAACAGTGTTCCTAGAGCCTTTGAGCAACAGCTTTTAGCTTCAAGGAGTTTGTTTTTACTTGAACTCTGTCTATAATATTGTACAGTTAAGGTTGATCAGAAATCTGTTGTCTACAGACCTTTTAAAAGCTTTATTTTATTTATTTTTATGTTTTTTTCTGTTCTGTAGGTAGGCTGGTATTTCTTTATATGCCTTAGTTTTCTTTGGGAAAAGTAAATTACATAGTGGTAGGGTCCTGGATTCATTAACTCTTTGTCTTATTTCTTTTAGGGCCTCATGCATCTTCAGGGCAAGCCAGTTTGTTCTTTTGATCCAGAAGGGTTAATTTTTGCTGCAGGTGTCAACTCTGAAATGGTCAAACTTTATGACCTTCGTTCTTTTGATAAGGTAAATCTTTGAATCTTTGAGCTATCTTAATATCATGGAAGTTTTAAGGGTGAGGTAGACATTTTAAGAGCCTTTTCTACAATAACTAAGTATGTGGTAGATATTAGAGAGTGTCAGAGCAGTTGTTCATCCTCTGCTTTCCCTAGTCAGAAAGGAATCTAAAAGGTTAGAATGGGAGTTGGCTCTAAGAGATAGAATTATTAATGTGCCTTGTGCCTGGGGCTGCTATTTTTTTTATCATCTGCAGGGGCCATTTGCAACCTTTAAGATGCAGTATGATCGGACTTGTGAATGGACAGGACTTAAGTTCAGCAATGATGGCAAACTCATCCTCATCTCCACCAATGGCAGCTTCATCCGTCTTATCGATGCATTCAAGGGAGTGGTGATGCATACGTTTGGGGTGAGTCAAGAGCCTTTAAGCATGGCTGTTTCCACGTGCATACTTTCTGGGCTGAGAATTGTGTTAGCTGGTTAGTTCAGGCCAGCAGTTATCCTTTGACTCACTGATCAAGGCATGAACTTGAATTTTCTTCCTGTTCATGAACTTATTTCCCTTGGGTTCTGTAGACATTCACTTTTCACCAAGTGACACAAGTTTGGTGTTTAGTTATAAAATAATTCCTAACAATAAACAGTTTTCTTGTCCCCTTGAATATGGAGTTGGGGGTAGAGGTGGATTATAAAGGGTGGCAGCCACTTTTGAAACCTTGGTGGCATAGTACATAACAAGGAAAGAGTTTCATGGAAAGGAAGGTCATGCACGTGCTGGGTTGGTGTTTCTAGGAAATTGTTTTTGTTTTTATTAATGGCCCTGTAACAACAAGAGAACCACTCTGTTTCGTTTTAGGGTTATGCCAACAGCAAAGCTGTCACACTGGAGGCTTCATTTACTCCAGACTCTCAATTTATTATGATCGGTGAGCTTCCTTTTCTCCCTTGGGATTATTTCTCTGGTACTGTGCATTTGTTTGTTTAAATTAGAACTAAGATATTATTATCTGTTTGATCTTCTCATATTTCTGTATAGCACATTATGCTAAGGGTATAGTGTCTTTAAAGCATAGTGTCTTTAAACCATCCTGACTTTGGAGTTCTTTACTGGGAACTGGCATTAATGTTGGTCTTTGTGGACCAACATTAGAGTTAAACTCTGCAAGCACTACCTTGTTAGTGATACTAACGTCCCGGTATAATCCTCCATTCATTCATCTTTGTGGCTACATGTTGGTAAGGTAATGGTATTCAACCCCTTTTTTAGACAAGAAAACTGAAGTTAGAGGGGAAATGATATGCCTGTGAGAACATAACCAGGGTCAAGATCAATTTTCAAAGTGTCCTCCTTTCACTGCCTCTTCTCCCTCTAAATTTCTGCAGAGGGCTGGGTTCTGAAGCTTGGCCTATCTCGAGGCTTCAATTCATGTCTTCTTTACATTTTCTTTGTATTATGCCTTGAACTGTTACATTTTCCTTGAATATTCTCTTTAGGTTCAGAGGATGGCAAGATCCATGTTTGGAATGGAGAGAGCGGTATAAAAGTAGCTGTGTTAGATGGTAAACATACCGGCCCCATTACCTGTTTGCAGTTCAACCCCAAGTTCATGACCTTTGCCAGCGCATGTTCCAACATGGTATGTGAACAAGAGGTGTCCTCTACCTAGGGGCCCTTTCCATTTGGGGTGGTGGGTGCCTCAATAAGCACAGCCAGCTGTGTTCTACATAGGTACATTACAAGCACTCCAGTTAATGTTTCTGAACTCTGGTGGCTTCCCTCTTTTACCTCATATTATATGATCTCTGGTCATGCTGATCTTTCACTTTTATTCTTCTTCCCTCTTCCCAGAGTTGATCTAGGGTCACCTCAGAACTCCAAGGAGGCCAGTTTTTACTGTTTGAGCCTGGTTTTAGGCTCAAACTGCCTCGGCTATACTTAACAGCTGTTTGCTCCTTAAAATACTCTGCACCGGTCTTTTGTGGCTACAGCCTTTTAGTTTTCCATTCCTCTTGGTTTATGCTGAACTTCCAGAAATTCTTAGAGTTAATCATAACTTAGCACTTAGAATTAACTCCAGGCCCATATCTCTTTCTAGATAACATTAGCAGAATAAAGGATCAGTGAGTCTCAGCCTCCAGTTTCCTCTTAGGATTTCCTAAACCCACCTGGGTATTTGGGAATGAGGCATTTCATTACAAGCCTACCCAGAGCACATTGCCCCCTCTCTTTTTTAAACCAAGAAAATAATGTCAGAAAAAATACAACAAAACCATTCAGTCCCTGTCATTTTTTACGGCTCAGGAAGGAGGAGGCCTATCAGAAGTTACCTGGTAGATTAGCGGCGAGGCCAGGTTACCCAGACCATCCACTTCCCACGTAGCTCTTCTTTTTTCCTTAAAAAAATGATCTGGTATGGTGGAAGGTGGACAATGAGTGTTGGAGGGAAACAGAACAGAACCAGCTTACTTTCACATAAAGGGGAGAGTGTTTCTGTCGCTATGGAGCTGGTCCTAGAGTGTTCTGCTAGAGCCGGTTGGTCAGAAGGGAGGGGCACCAGAGCCATTAACTCCTCCACCATTGGGGCTGGGCAGCTTGATGCTGTGGGGTGGGGTATGAAGAGCCCTCGGTAGTGAGGGAATGCTTGGCTTTTTAAAGTTGATTTGTGTTCTCCTTCCAGGCCTTCTGGTTGCCCACCATTGATGACTGACCCTGATGCTGCTCGGCTATTTCTGTACAGTGAAGGCGGCCAGTAGGAGAAAACTCAGAGGGGACTGAGATAATATAATAGTGGGATTGGATCATTTGACTGGGCTGGAGAACATCCTTTCACATGGCCTTCCCATCGATGTGCTGTACATCTGCGCAAAAGAACAAAATGACTTTGCTGAGCTTCTTCAAAAGGACTCTTGGTGCAGCAGACTCGGTTGGGACTTAGCTTTTCTAGCTGTCACTGCACCAAGCTCCTCCAGAGGAGTGACCAGACTCGCGATTAGGGTATAGTGGGGCTCTCAAGACACCTTCAAGTTTGAATGTATTTGCTGCTGAAGAGCCAGTGAAGTCGTCAGTTCTGCACATCTCTTCTCCCACCCCCATAATGCATGGGAAGCCACGGTCTTGGTTTTGGGATGCTGGGGCAGCTCAGTGCCCCTTGCCCTCACCCTGCATGTCTTGTTACTGGGTCTCCCTGTGTAATTGTGGCATTATTCCACAGCCATCATGTTTCTTAGGTGCCAAACATTTACAGAAATAAGTCTTCACATATTTTGGGGTCAAAGAAAGGGACAGATACAGAAGGACCTTGCTTGTCAGGAAGCTGTGCAGTTAGTTGTGTGAGGGTAGGTGTTCTGGGCAGGTCTTGGGCTCTAGGTACTAGGTGGGAAAAGGCCCAAGAGCCTGAAAGGGAGGAAGGGGGTAGCAGGTGAGTTCTGGTGCAGTACCCTGTAGTCAAGACAAACCCATGGTCCTCCTGGATGCCTACTGAGTTTGGTTTGTACAAAAGCAAGGTGGGAGTCTATTTTTGTACATGAGATACATCACGCTTTCCTGTGGGCCAGTATTGTGAAGTGAGTCTGAGTTGTTTACACTGATGCCTTCCCTGCCGACCACAAATTGTGTACATAGTCTCCAGATGATACCACCCCTCTCCTCAGCTCCCAACCAGGAGCTGGTTCTAGGCCTGTGTTATATGTTATATTTAGCCTTTTTATATATGACCTTTGATTTCTGTTGTTTGTATTTTAGCAGTGTGTGCACCTGTGTTTAAATATATCTGTGCATACATATATGCATATACGTGTATGTATGCATATATATATATATCTCATTTGTAGTTTCTGAGAGTTCAGCTGAAGGAGTTAAGAGTCCTACAGCCTGGGAGAAAGACTGCATCCTTACTAATAGTGTTTGCCACAAGTGTTAGTGAGTCTTCCCTATTGCCATTTGCCCTTCGGGAGACTGAATGAAGCAAAGCTTCTAGTGTTTGCTGTTTCCATGGCAGCTAAGTGAGGATCTTGGGATGATTCCATTCCTCAAGCCGCACTTTGGGGCCCTCTCTGCAGTATTAGCCCCGTTTTTGCCCGGTGATGCTTTGTCTGCACCTGTTAATGTGTGTGACAGTCATTCTTGCATGGCTTCTGTGTCTGGCTTGCGGCATTTGGGACAGAATGCTGGAACCAGAGCATTTTCGGCTTGTCTGAGGCTTCTTTGCCAATTACAGATCACTCCCATTTACCTGATATGTCTGCTTTCTTGCTGCTTTTCCTTGCTTTCTCTTAGGAGAGGAAGGGGCTCTAGCCAGGCCCAGGTTAAAATGAGTTGCAGTGGGCCTATGGCCTTTTCCCCTGCATGGCCTTCTTAGAGCAAACCAAGTGGCATGTATTTTACTAAGTTCCCAAACAACATTTACGCAGGTAACACTCCCTGCAGATACATAAACTGAGGCTCAACAAGGTTATGACTTACCCAAGAATATATAGCTGCTAGGAAGTAAATCAGGCCATCATTGCTTCTGTTTAGCGGCAGGAATAGACTATGAATTGCTAGCACTTTCTTTTTTTAAGCAATTACTTTTTGACTTGTTCCTCAAACCGAAAGTGCAAGAAGTATACAACTTTCCCAAATGTAGACTAGAATCTGCAGCTGCCACAATGCCACCTGCTGTGTAGCTCTGCTTTCCCAGAGTGGAGGGACTTAAGAAACCAAATGATCTGAGCTATTACTGCCCACCTCTGGCTTTTCAGGGCAGAAAATTCATGAGAAGAGTAATTGTTCAGAGAATGCTTGCAACTGTGGGTTAACAAGAAAGGCTGCATAACTTGACATATCTGCAACCAGAGCAGCCACCAACCCTGACTTGCCCAGCGGCAGGAAGATGATTTGTATTTGAGTTTCTGTATGTCCAACTGAACATGCCTCCTCATGGCCTCTATTTCTGGGCCCTGTGGCTGCAAAGTTGGCTCCTGAGTTGGGAGGAAAGGTAAAAGATGCAGCTAGAAGTGACTGGAGAGGGTGCGGTGGAGGGGATAAGGCAGAAGAGAGGCTGAGAGCTGAGCTGCACAGGTGCCTCAGAAGGGGCCAGAGGTACTCAAGCTGTCCTGGGGGGAGGGGCTGCTCACCACCTTAAGAGTCATGGCCAAAGCCACTGATTCATATTTGACAGCGACACTGCACTGCTTAACCACCAGCCAGAGGGGTATTTTTTTATTATTATTATTCCCTGTTGCAATTATAATTACTGCTTATTAAGGAAAATTTGGGAATTTTATGAAGAATCACCCAACTGCTACCATTGTTAATCTTTTGGTGTTAAATGTTCCTCTAGACATTTCTGTGCGTAGATTTTTGGTGTGTTTACACAGTTGTTATTCTACTGTATATACAATTTTATGTCCCTTTTGTACTTAACATATAAACATTTTTTCCATGTTAATAGTCTTAAACAGAATTTTATGGCTACAGCCTCTTCCATTGAGTTTCTGTAGCATTGTTTCCAGAGTTGGAGGGAGAGTTGGGTTGTCTCCTGTTCTAACTCACACTGGAGCTGACTGCAATGCTGGGTGGATTGTTGGGCTCCCTGGGACTGCCCCCTGGTAACTAAGTCCCGTGGGCTGATGGAAGGAACCACTACCCAACCCTCAACCCTAGCCTCTAACAAACAGCCATAAGGCCAGAAATGAGTGACTGGGAAAGGCAAGCCCAAACCAAACTTGATCTTCAAAGACTGTATTTGGCACACACCTCAGGCTGCCTCGCATCCCCCATTGTTTTACCTCTAACCCTTGATCAGATTGGCAACTTGTAGTTGGAGTAAGTTTCATCTTGCCAGGCCCTGGTTTCTGGAGGACAAGGACAGTGGGGCCTCTTTGAGCCTCCTGTACCAGGTCTGGCAGAAAGCCTGTCCAATTGCTTGGTAACCCACTGCTTGGTAACTCCCGGAGCCTGCTGCTCTAGCTCGACAAGAGCTAGAGCTGCAGGACCTGCTTCTTGCCCCTTGCCTGGCTCTCTGAACCAGAGAAGAAAACCATGGGCCTGCCACATTGCCCGTGGTCATTGGAGGTTGGCTAGGGACTCTGTGACTGGCAGAGGGAACATTCTGGCTTGTGTGGTAGGCCAAGCATAGGATCTCCTGAAAGACTACTCAAGGAGGAGATGCCCTCATGGCCTGGTGGGAGGGCTGCTGCAGCGTTTGGCTCTACTAGGAGACATGAACAAGTAGGTCAACATGGCTTCCCTTGCAGCAGCCACACCTCTCTGGATTGCTTGGAACTGAGACCCACTGTACCTACTCCGCAGGCCCCCCGCCTTGTGCGGAACAAGAGCAGGCTGTGGGGGCGAGCCCGCTCAGCAGTTGATGTTGGTAAGAGAAGCAAGCACAGGAGATGGTGCCCACACTCTTACTTTGCTCAGGCAGGAGGGGGAGGTCAGTGCTGAGGAAAGAGGAAGTGAAACTCCTACAGGCTGGGAGGGCAGCACTCCTGCACTTGCCTGCTTCCTGACTGGAAGAGTCCTGGAGAGGATACCCAGACCTTCCAGGGCCAACTAACTTGTCAGGGCCCAGGTGTAGACAGGTTCATGCCTGAAAGTCCGATGCCATGGAATATAGCTATGTGAAAAAATGGGAAATGTCTCCGGTTGCAGTTTTTCCTATCTTCCTTGGAGAACATACAGGAAATGAAATCTATAATGAGTAAGTGGGCAGGAAAGGGGGTCTGAGAGCCTCTCAGATTAGTTAAATACACAAGTTTTACCATCGACCCTAGGACCCACTGGCTCTTCTCTTTCCGGGCTGTAATTTAGGGCTGAGTTGCCTGGTAAGAATTCACCTCAATTGTAAACTAAAGTAGGAGTGATTCAGGGAAGAGTCAGGTCAAGCTGAGGTTATGAAGGTGTTTACCTTGTAATTCAACAAATACTTCCTGAGCACTTGAGCCTTGGTAAGTTCCAGGTGACAACCATGTTGTAGAGAGGATAAACTAAGCTGTTCATCAAACAGCAAGCCCTAGGGCCCTAACTCGTCTCCAGCCAAATCTAGCTTTATAGAAATTTGCATTCAAAAGAAAGTGAAAAGGAAGCAGGGCGGTGGCTCATGTCTCTAACCCCAGCACTTTGGGTTGCTGAGGTGGGAGGATCACTTAAGGCCAGGAGTTTGAGACCCGACTGGGCAGCATGGCAAGCCCCCTCCCCCACCCCCCGCGTCTCTACAAAAAATTAGCCGGGCGTCATGGCACACGCCTGTAGTCCTGGCTACTTAGGAGGCTGAGGCAGGAGGATCCCTTGAGCCCAGGAATTTGAGGCTACAGTGAGCTATGATGACACCACTGTACTCTAGCCTAGGCAACAGAGCGAGACCCTGTCTCTAAACAAACAACAACAACAAAAAAACAAAGTAAGTGAAAAGGCAACCCTCCTGGTATCTCAAGCCCAGAGCTCACAAGTGGTAGTAGAGACCTACTTTCTGTTCTCTGGGCAAAAATTCTCTGGGGATCACCCAAGCTGAGAACCAGGAAGGCTACAGAGAAAACACAGTCCTGGTTATTTGCAAGCTGGAGCTAAGACTGATCCACTAGAAGGTAATAGCAATGGATCTCCTTAATCCAACCTGTACAGCAATACACGATTCACAAGGGCTCTTCTGCACACAAACATTTAATAAAAGGGAGGTGATGGGGAACAAAGGCATCATTGGGGTATCAGACAAAGGCAGGGCGAGGGCCAGGCTGCAGGTAGCAACTGGAGAGCACTCGCCCAACCAATTCAGGAGCTTCTCTTGCCCTTTTTTGATCTCCCACAACTTTAGCCCCAGAGCCTGTGTCTCACCTCCAAAGGCAGAGGAGAGCAGGGCAGGACCTGAGCTGGTCTCTTCTCGGGGGCTGTGCTCAAGATGGCTGTTCCAGCAGATGTGAGGTTGCCCAAAGCTTTCTACGAGGCACCACACATGGACTTTGGGGGTTGCTGAATGGATGCCCTGACATCCATGGATTGGAGACCTGGATCCAAACACAGCTAGCTGCCCCTGGTGGCATCTCTGGCTAATACCCTTAGCCCAGATGTCCCCATCTGAGAATAATACTTGGGACTGTTGAGGATCTTGTCTGATGAGCCTCACTTGGTTTTCCTAAGTTGTAAAGTGCCTCTGCCAGACAGATGTTATCACTGCAAACAGGATCTGGTGGGCTGAGCAGTCCACACACTTCCAGCTCTGACTGCCTGGTATAAGTGTTCCCCTTGAAATGGGTAGATGGCAAGAGCACTGGGCTGTGGCTGGGGACAGGGCAGGCAAGACCTGCTCTTGGCCACAGTGGAGGGGTGCCCAGATCGCACCCGGCACTGGAGTGGTTCTGTGATGCAGTGTCTGAATCCTCAGTGGCCACTGCTCCCTTGGCCCTGGCTGTGCAAGGGAATCACGAACACAGAGACATCATCATAGGACACCTGCCCTTCCCCCGTGGGACCATCCTTCCTCTGTGTGCTGTGTATCAGCATTTTGGCCAGCTCCGAGAACCTGTGAAGACCATCCTGTAGATATACTTCAGGGGCAGAACAAAGGGGCAAGGCCAGCCCTCCAGTAGAACTCATTGCACAGGACTGGATACTTGGAGACCCAAGCAATGCAGTCTGACTGTGGGCCAAGCAAGCAACAAGCTGAGAGGGCCACAGGTTGGACCACAGGAGTCTAGACCCAGAGCTTTTTGGAACCCACAGTCTCCCCTCCTCCCCCAGGGAAGCTTGAGACAGCCCTGATCCTGGCCACCTGCCCTGAGTCAGGCTCCTTGTCAGTGCTGTCTTCTGAGCCATAACTACTACTTGGTATGGCTGCTGACACCAACCCATGCCCAGGCAGGTCCCCAGCAGCTACAGTACCTGTGTGGGTCCTCTCGGTTCCCAGGGAGGAAACTCCGTACCAGCCATGCCACCTGCTCATTGGACAGGACATCCCAGAGTCCATCAGTTGCCATGACAATCACATCCTCCTCCTGAAGCTCCAGCTGGTCCACATCCAGCACCGTTACCTGCAAGTTAAGCCTGAGGATGCTGCAGCATTCCCTTCCCTGCTCCCACCAGCCTCACTGTCTGCCTTTGTGGGCAGATGGAAGCTGGGGTGGACGACCTTGTCCCCTCACCTGTGGGATAGAAAGCAAGAAGGGCTTGAGCTGGATGTTCGTGTCCAGGACTCTGAGCTGATGGTCTCCCAGGCCCCGAGAGACGGCCAGTGTTCCCAGTAACCGAGCCTGGGGGCAAGGGAGGTATAAGGTGATGGCAAACAGCTCCAGCAAATGCACCAGAGCTAGGCCCCAGCACTGCAGAGCACACAGGGAGAGGTGCAGCATGGCCCTCAGGAGCCCTGGGCTGAGGGAGCAACATCCTGGTCTCACAGCTGACCACTGCACACCTGCCACAACTACCGTAAAGGGACAAAGGGGCTCCCATCTCTGCAGGGGGCAAGTGGAGAGGGATTCTTGGGTGGAGGGCAGTCACTGACCTGCCTACCCTGTCCATGGATCAGTGGGTACTTGAGATCTGCTTTCTCCACACGTTTGTAGCTCCTACCAGGAGGAGACCCAGCATCAACCCAGGCCCCAGACCCCACCTCAACTCCCCCCCAACTCAGGGCCCAGCTATCACACCCTCAAGGTACCCACCCTACCCAGGTAAAGGGGGATTGCTCCAGGTCACACAGATGGACCTAGGCCCCAGGGCTCTCCCTTCCCACCATGTCCCCTCACCCTGCTCACCAGCCGCTCATGTGGTGATCCCTGAACAAAACCTTCTGCCCCAAGTCATCCCCCTTCAGCCTCCGAGGAAACTCCAGTCGGGTAAACTCACCAGCCAGAAGCTCAGGGTAGACAAAAGCCTAGGGTGGGAAGGCTGTGCTCAGGCCAGGCTCCCTCCTACGGCCTCCTGTGGCCCTGGACATAGGAATTAGGGCAGGGTTCCACAGTCTCCCCCTGCCAAGGACACCTACCAGCTGCTGGATTCGTTGCCGCTCAGTCTCTGGGGTGAACTCAGAGCTCAGCAGCCGTACCTCATCTCTCCGCACGAGGATGGCCCTGGATGGGGTTAAGGAGGGGAGGCAGAGGTGGCCTCCACCCTCATCCATGGCCACCCTCTTGCCAGCCCCTCCTCAACCACCAGGAGCCAGCTCTGCCCACACTGATCCCTTGCTTAAAGCCCTCCATGACTGCCTAGTTCCTGCAAGGTAAAGGCGCAGCCCTTCAGCCCATCACTTGAGCTCTCCTTCCTCCCCAGCATCCACCGCCCACCTTTACACATGACACATGCCAAATACATACACAAACAACTCAGCCAGTCAATCTTTCCCATTTCTATCCGCCCACTTCCATCCTCCTTTCACTGTCTCCACTGCCTCTTGTGCCCTGCCTACCCTCCCCCAGCCCACCCTCCAAGGGGCAGCTCACTCACCTGCTATCCCCAGCATTGGCCACATACAGCTTTCCCTGCAGGGACACAGCCACCAGGGCTGTGCAGCCGCCCACCTGGCTTGATGCCTCCAGCTCCCGCCCGATCACCTCATCCTGGGGCAAACCAAGGCCACCTTAGCTGCTCCCTGTACTGCCACCATACCACTTTATCCCCCAATTCCCACCCTACAGTTCACTTCCACCAGAAGACCTGGCAGTCCCGGCCCAAAGTACAGCCATGCCTCCAAGATCCCTATAGTCAGGAGGTCCAGCCAAGGGAAGTGCTACTCAAAATAGAGGAAGAGAAACAGGGTGTGGAATGAGATGATGCAGGTAAAAGCACCTAGCACATAGTAGGTGCTAGGTTAGTGGGAGGAATTATGATGACAATGATAGCTGTTAGTAACAAACCTACCCAATCTCATCTTCCCAATTCAAGCATCCCGGATCCCCATGGTGTACAGGGATGCTACTCCCTTAGGTCCCTGGGGCAAAATCTTCCCTTTTTCCCCAGCCAAAGGCCACACACTCACACACTCCTGGAAGGCACTCTCCAGAGCCCCGATCACCAAGTCTTCTGCCCTGATGCCCTTTTCCTCAACAAATTGTGGGTCACTGGGGCAAATGCAGCGGCCACTGAGGTGCATGGGGGGCTGAGTGGCCACCAGGCCCTCTACCACAGCTTCCAGCTGCCGGCGCAGGCAGGAATGCAGGGTGTTGGCAGCCAGGATGGCTGCTGCAGGACCGCCGTGCCCATCAAAGAGTGCCCAGTAATGGCCCGTCAGGAACTGCATGAGAAGGGCTCAGTGTCAGGTCCTGCCTGGCTTCCTCAGCTGTCCCCAGGCCCAGCCTGAACTAGGACAGCAGGCAAGAATCTCAGCCTGCAGGTCCTGGCGCCAACCTGTAAGAGGGGCTCATGCTAGGCTGCACGTACCTCCTCGGGGCACAGGGTCAGCCACTCTTGATCATCTTCAGCCCCAAACTCACATCGCCGGATGCACAGTTTCCCACAGGCAGCTTGATCCTCATTGAACTCAGATTTCTCTGCATTGATGATCCTGAGGCCGGGAAGTGGTCAGTGACCCTTCAGAGACACACCTATGTCCCCATGAGCACAGAGACCTGAGCTGCCACGCAGAGACAGGAGCCCTCCCCTCTGAGGCAACAGCTCTCCAGTGCTGTCCCTGCACACACCTGGACAACCACCATGCAAGTTTCCTAACCACTCAGTGGCCTCCCGCTAAGGTAAAAAGTCGGGGCCCAGCTCCTCTGAAGCCTACCTGCTGACCCAGGGCTAGGAGGTAAGGGCGGGCTGCCTGGGGAGATCTGGGGCTCCCTTTCCCGTCCCCTGCCGCATCTCAGCCTGAACCCTGACCCATACAACATAGGCCATACCCAGGGTGGGATGGGCGGGAGTGGGGGTGTCTCCAAAGGCCAGAATGCTGGAACTCTACCGAGTCTCTGGGCCTCGTCTTGGAAGCCCTTGGGGTGTAGGTCCTTCTCGACCTCCAGCTTTCTCTGAGGGAGGCTGGAGTCCCAAAGAAAAGGCTGGGTTGGGATAAGGGGGAGGTTGTCAGCGGTCCCGAGGTGAAGGCAAGAAGGGGTTATCCACAGGTGGGTGGGGTCACTCACTCAGCTTAGCCTGTTTTCTAGGTCAGCACAGAACCCCAGGATGGATCCGGCAGGGTCCCCGGGCCGGGGGTCCCGGGGTAAGGGTCGCCCGGGGCGGGGGCACTCACTCGGCGTAGCCTGCGTTCCAGGGCAGCGAACGGCCCCGCGCGGGGCTGCGCACGGGCCGGGCATCTGGGCGGCGCGAGGCGTCGGCAGCGCCTGGGCTGGAGCCCGAGCCACGCAGGAAGCGGGGCCGTCGGTAGGGCACGGGGCTGGCACGCGGCCCGGGTGTCCGCGGCGCGGGGAGCGGGTCCCCGGGTAGGAAGCGGCGCCGGAACCAGCCGGCGGACATGGCGCGGCAGCAGGGGGCTGCCCGCGGAGCCGGGCCGAGGGCCGAGCGGACCCCAGCCGCCCCGCCCTAGGCAGGAGGAAGTGGGCCGGGGGCGGGGCCGGGGGCGGGGCGGTGACGACCCCAAACCCCACCCTCTGGCCCGGAGTCTGGGCTGCGCCGCCCGCCCTGTGCTTATCCGGCTTGTCCAGCCTCATAACAACCCTAAGAAGCAAACGCTGTTATCGACCCCACTTCATAGGCAGGAAAACAGGCCTAGAGAGGCGAAGTCGCCTGCCGTGTGTCACACAGTAACACCAGGGAGAACGGAACGTTCACCCACACGTGTGGGGCACTAGTCTTTGAGGGGGAAAGTCCCTCCCCTCTACCCAACGGGGCTGTGGAGGGTCGGTCAGCAGGAGCTGGGCCAGGTCCATGGCAGAGCCTCAAGCCTCCTCCTGCTGGGCGGGGACCTTATGCAAGGGGAAGATGGGGACAGGATGTGCTTGGAGGTGTCGGATTGACACATTGAGTAAGAGTGTCTCAGAGCACAGTGTTCCGTCCGGTGGCCTCCCTTCCTCACCCACCCAGCCTGGCACCCTCCACCCCAGACCGGGCTTAGTGGTTACCCTGGCCTTCGCAATGCTGAGAGGCTGCTCCCACACTCAAAGCCAGTCTCCCAAATGGCTGCCCTTCCAATCAAGATGTCCTCTCTGGACAGACAGCAAGATCTTCACTGGAGTGTGAGTGACTGACGGACAACAGGAATCTATGGGAATTTAAAGGGGAATCCGTGGTCCCCCAAAGGCTCCCCCTGGTCAGAGTGCAGACCTGGGACTAGCAAAAGTGAAAGACTTTCATCTGAGCTGGAGGCAAGATGTTGCAGTCTCTCCACTGGCTAGCTGTTGCCATGTGGTCAGTGGCAGTGTCCCCTTGACATGTGCATGTTAACAGAGCACATTGTCACCCTTCTGTCATTTATGTTCAACTCCCTGTACAATGCTGTTATTTGTATTTCATAATGGAAGATTCTGAGGCCCACAGAGGGGAAGTCTCTGGAGCGGTGCTGTTTCCATTATGACACTGCAGCTGACTAAATGCCCCCTCCCCAGGGAATTTCTCTTCCCCTTTCCTCCTCCAGGAAGCCAGAGCTTGCCAACTCAAAGCCCCTAAGGCTCCACAGCCCAGTGCCCCCAGGTCGGCTATATGAAGTGTCCCTACGCTCGCCTCCCCTCCCTAGGCCAGGCTCAAGGTCAGTAGGCCCCACTTCCACCCAGCAGCAGCCCTGCCCCATTGGGAGTTCCCCTGGCCCAAGGAGGAAGATTGAGCTGTGCCCAACACCCACTCCCTCAGGTGACTCAGTTCCAGAGCAGCCTGAGGGCTAATTTACTGAACCCACTGTGTGTGCCAGGCCCACACTGGGCACAGGAGCACAGTGTTAATGGAGAAGAGCCAAGCTCCTACCCACTGAGTCCTCCTGCAGTGATGGTGGAAGTCCTGGTGGATGGTGCTTGATCCAGCTGGCAAGGGTGTAGGGACAAAGTCAGAGAAAGTTTCCCAAAGGACATCTGAGCTGAGACCTGTCATTGGGACAGAAATGGACCAGGGGCCCAAGGTAGGGCAGGCCTAATTCAGTCTGTGGGGTCACCCCCTCACCCTACCAGTCAATGGCTCAGAAGCATTTTTTTTTTTTTTTGAGATAGTGTCTCTCTGTGTCACCCAGGCTGAAGTGCAGTGGCATCATCATAGCGCACTGCAGTCTCGAACTCTTGGGCTCAAACAATTCTCCTGCCTTAGCTTCCCAAGTAGCTGGGACTACAAGTGTGTACCACCACGCCCAGCTTCAGAGAATTTTAAAGTCTATAATTAGAAGAAACAAAGGAAACACCCTCTATTCCCCAACCCACTGTCTTGGACTTACCTGGGCAGGGTGAAATATCTGTTCTTTTTCACAGAAGCTCTGGGCAGCCAGATGTCACAGACAGTCTATTGCCGAGCTTAGCCACTTCATATTTTCAGAGCCATGTGAAGCCCTGTGGCAAGGCAGTCTGAGTGTTCCTTCAGTGCCACCAGGTTCCTCTGGACCCCTAGGTTCCCAAGTGCCTCTGTTCTTGTCTGGATCCTAAGCCTGCCTCCTTTTGTTTACTCCCTTATTTTGCTAAAGCACATCCTCCAACAACTTCCTAAGAAAGGATGACTGGGAGGCAATTCCCTGGGTCCTTGCAAGTCTGAAAGGGTTTTACTTTTGACTGATATTTGGGCTCAGAATTCTGACTGCTCTCTGTTCATTGTCTTTTTGCTGCTGTTGATGCTGCTGAAATCCAGTACCCTTCTCATTCTTAGACCTTTGGATTGGCCTGTGTTTGCCTTTTTTTCTCTCTAGAAGCTTCCAGGCTCTTCTGCCTCTGTTGTCTGCAAATGCAGACAAGATAGATCCTCCTGAGGTGGGTCTGTCTTCATTCCCAGGCTGGGCCCTCCCTGGGGCGATGCAACCCCTCACTCCCCAGTGGCACCCTTTTCCTCACACCCTTCTCCCAAATGCTCAGGGGAGTCCAAGCTCGCCCTGTCCTGGCGGGAGGCCTCTCCTCAGCAAACTCACCAGCACCTGGGGGGTGGAAGGTAGGGGAGGAGCAAACCTAGCAAAAGGAAAAAACTTTTTATCCTTCATTTTTTTTCACTCAACAATGAAAAGCTTTTATTCGGTCCCACATCTGTTCTTTAACAAGATTTATTTCAGATTTAATTTTTTTAATTGAATACTTTCATATGACTCAAAATTCAAAAGGTATAAAAGTATATTTAGCAACAAGTCTCCCCCGCAACCCATCCCCTGGCCACCCAGTTCCTCTCCCAAAACACATCCAACATTACTAATTTTGTGGGGATCCTTCCAGAGATGTCAGGTGTATTCTGTGCAAATTCAAGCAAAATATATATATGTGTGTGTATATACACACACACACACACACATACACACACACACAATTTTATACATATAAAATCTTTCTTCCTCCCTCCCTTTTTTTTTTTTCTGAGACAGAGTCTCACTCTGTTTCCCTGGCTAGAGTGAGTGCCGTGGCGTCAGCCTAGCTCACAGCAACCTCAAACTCCTGGGCTCAAGCGATTCTACTGCCTCAGCCTCCCGAGTAGCTGGGACTACAGGCATGTGCCACCATGCCCGGCTAATTTTTTCTATATATTTTTAGTTGTCCGATTAATTTCTTTTTATTTTTAGTAGAGACGGGGTCTCGCTCTTGCTCAGGCTGGTCTCGAACTCCTGAGCTCAAACAATCCGCCCGCCTCGGCCTCCCAGAGTGCTAGGATTACAGGCGTGAGCCACCGCGCTGGCCTCTCCCTCCCTTCCTTTTACACAAATGATGGCATACTCTATGCCATATTCTCACCTGAAATTTTCATCTGAGATTCCCCTATCATTTTATATGAGTCCTTGAAGAGCTGCCTTGTTCTTTGTTAGGGCTACGGAGCAGTTTCTGTGCAACTGTGGGACTCTATGTAGCTATCTCTCCAATGATAGACATTTAACTTGTTTTCAATTTTTTGCTTTGTATTTTTTTGTGTGTACATATATTGGTAGGATCATTTCCTAGTAATGAATTGTTGGGTCAAAGGCATTCATTGTTCATAGCAGCACTATTCAAAATAGCCAAAAGGTGGAAACAATCCCATTGTCCATCAACAGAAGAATGCATAAATAAATGGTGGTATACACATTTAACAAAATATTATTCAGTCATAAAAAGGAATGAAATACTGATATATGGTACACTATAGATGAGCCTTGAAAACATCATGCTAAGAGAAAGAAGTCAGACACAAAAAGTCACATATCGTTATGTTTCCATTTCTGTGAAATACCCAGAATAAGTAAACCCATAGAAACAGAAAGCAGATTGGTGGTTGCCAGAGACTGCGGTAGGGGAGAATGGGAAACAACAGCTTAATGGGTATGGGGTTTTATTCTGGAGTAATGAAAATGTTTTGGAACTAGAGGTGGTGGTCGAACAATAATAATGTCCTAACTACTGGCGGAGGAAAAACAACAAATATGTAAATATATGTCGGAAAGAATGATACAGGGTCAGCCAGGCAGTAGGGGAGAACTGCAGCTGAGGTAGCACCAAATGATCCTGCCTTGTTATAGTTCATCCAGTGAGGAACATTTTTACCAATAGCATGACTTCATTATTTTTCATTAACCTGGTTAATTCCTGTTTCCAGGAGGTCAAGGCTCTTATGGTTGTGTGGAATTGCCAACTGCTCCTGTGGAGGGGCCAGGTCTGACAGCTGATGTAACCAACAGCTCTGCATTGGCAGGGCTCAGAGTGTGGGCCCTTGGCTGAGAACAGGTCTCCCGAAGGCAAGCTGTAGGGCCACACAGCAGTTTTATTTTCCATTGTGAGTTCTGGAGTCATGGCAGGGAGCAGACTACACAGGCCCAGTCCTCAGGGTGTCCACAGGTAGATGAACAAGAACACTCCTCAATTTGGAGTGAGCTGGACTCTTGGGTTGAGAAACTCAGGGCTTGGGGGACACAGAGGAGGCCTCAGTTTCACCCAGTCAGGGCTGGGTAGCAGGACAGTAAATGGAGAGGTCAAGCTGGGGCCGGATACCAGGCAAGCCACACGCTTCATCATCATGTCTCAGCAACCGCAGCCCAAAAAGGCGGCCTCCTTGCCAATCTTCCCAGCCAAAGTCCCTGGACAGGCTCTGATGGGGCCAACTAGGGTCATATGCTCATCCTTGACTCAATCACAGCGGCCTGGATGATACCAATACATTGACTGACTGACAGAACAGGCTGGTACTGGCACCAGGAGGGCAAGGTATAGAGACAGAAGTTCATTAGGAGGTGGGAAGTTCCTCAGGCTCACCAAGCTCAGGCCCTCCTTCAACCTCTGGGCCTTTACATGTGCAGTTCCCTCTTCTCAGAAAACTTTTTCCTCCACTGGGCTGGGTTGCTCTGTTCTCCCCTTTAGGTTTCGGCCCAAATTTCGCCTCCTCCTGGAAGCCCCTCAAATTCTCTGCCTGGCCACCACAGACACTGTTCATCTGCTGGCTCCCTTCTAGAGTGGGTCTGGGCTCCCACTGTGAGAGCAAGGCCTCTGGCCATGATCACCCCGAGGTGCCAGTGCTCCACGGGACGCGCTCAGGAAACGTACCCTGGGGAAGGGATGGCGCACACAGCACCCACGCGCGTGCCCATCCACACGCAGATCCCCATCCTGGTCACAAACCTGGATCCGCACGGATCCGCCCCTACTCGCAAACCCATCTGGCCTGGGGCGCACAGATTGTCGTGCTCGCGCGCACGGATGCAAGCCACCCACAGACCACCAGGATCAAGGCTCACATACACACACGAGCGTACGCCCACGCACGCTCGGCCACCTGCGGGACAGAGGCACGCGCAGGCGTGCGCACACGCGGATCAACAGCCCCACCCGGACCGTGGCGCGCACGCGCGGCACCGAGTCCCCGCCCCTCCCGGCCTCGCCTGTCGGGGGCGGGGCGCCGCTGGGGGCGGGTCCTGCGGCACCGCCCGGGAAGCTGCGCGAGGTTCGGCAGCCGCCGCCACATCCTCCTCCTGTTCTTGGTCCAGGGGAGCGGAGCGGGGCCAGGGCCAAGTGGAGGGCTCCGACAGCGCGGGCGGAGCGGAGCGCAGAGCCATGGCACATCAGACGGGCATCCACGGTGAGGGCGGATGGAGGGCGGGCATAGGACCCAGGGTCTCAGCTTTCAAGCACCCCCTCCCCGGCTCTCGGCCCCTCCCTCCTCCCCGCACCAGCCGGGGGAAGCTTCCTGTTCTCTTTTGCAGCCGCGGGTTGCCTAGGCTGGGCACATCTGGGGGAGTATGGACTTGCTGTGCCTAGCTGGGAGTGGGTGTACATGTACCTACACAGCTTGAGTGGAAGTACCTGTTTGCCCACCTGGAGGGGTTATGTATGTGTGTGCCCCTCTGTATATTTTTATTCCTTTCTGGGGGTGGGTGTACCGGATGTGCACATCTGGGGGAGTGTACACGCTTGTGCACATGTCTTCTGTGTATGGTCTTGTGTGTGCACATCTGGATATGACTTGCTTGTGCACATCTAGGGTCATTCATGCACACACACTAGCAGCGTTTGAATGGACACTTGGTAGGTTGCATAGGACCGTCTTTAGACATCAGTGTTTCATGGCAGTGTGCACACGTCTGTGGGTGTCTGTGTGTGTGCATAATCGGGGCACACCTCAGTGTGCATTTGTTGCCATGGATGCATGTGCTGGATGTGTCTGTATGACTTGTATGGGCTTGGGTATTTGTGAGGAGGGAGCCTTGACCTTTGCTTCTCCCAGGACCCTCATATGCTCCTCCAGGCTAGGCTGGGGAAAACCTGGGACAGGACTCTCTAAGTGGAATGGGGAGAATCGCCCATCTGACCTTGACCTTGACCTCTGACCTCCCTCCCATTTTCCACTGTGATCTCCTGAGTCTGCCCCAGGCAGGGTTGGAAGGTCCCAACTCAAGGCTGGACACGGGGAAGAGGGTCCATATATGGGGTTTGTTGGGGAATGTCCTGGCTCTAGAGAATCCAGGCCAGCTCCCTATCCCACCCCTCATCCCCAGGAAGCTTCGCCAGCCCAGAGCATCACACACACGCCCTTCCCCATGGGTCCCAGTTTCTTCCTTGGACAGGCCGGGAGAGAAGTGATGGCCCAGAGCCAGGTGCCCTGACTCTACTAGGGCCTCAGTGTCCCCATCTGTCACTGGCCTGGGAGGGCTGCCTGGTCAGTAGGGAAGGCCCAGGCTGCTTGCCCAGACAGCCTGGTAGGTTTGGCCATCAGCCACTCCTGCTCCACACCAGGGTCCCCTGCCTGGGGCTACCACCATCGACCTGCCTGACCGCAAGCAATCCCTCACACAGGCGGTTGTGGTTGCTTGGTGGCTGGACTGCTCTGGAAAAGTTTCACTAGCCCTGCCTCCACCCACCACCCCTCAGGACCAGAAAAGGCAGGGGCCTGGGTCAGGGCCAGCTTCCCACCAGATGGGCCAGCCTCTCTGCAGGAGAAGTTGGAGGGGTAGGCTTCATGACAGCTCCACAGGAGGGAAGAACTGTGCCTGGTCTGCCCCTTCCTTCCTCTTTGTCTGGTCATAGCTGCTGCCTCCAGGCCTTCAGCCTATGTGGGGGGTTGGGGAGTATCCTGGGAAGTCAAACCCCCCACCCCCCCGTCCCTGTGGTAGCTGGGGCCGTGCCTCACTCCCTCATTTCCCATACATTGAGACAGGCCTGCCTAGGAGGTCACTGGGGACTGGGCTGCCCCCCAGCCCTCCTTCTGCCTGGGAGCTCAGCCCAGTCCTTCCCATTTCTGGCCTGGAGAGTTGGCAGGAGAGATCACCTTGGAGGACCAGGTACCAGTCTTGTCCTGACCATAGGTGTGGATATGCTGACTCGGAGCAGGGCAGGGGAGGGACCTGTAACCTGAGGCTCATTGGAGTTGAGGGGGTGGGCACAGTGGGGGGGCTGTTCATGAATCTTTGATGACAGAGGCTCAGGTGTCCCAGGCCTGGCCTCTGGATTATTGATGGTGGCTGGGGAGGCATTAGGGATGGGGTGGGGAGGGATGTCTCTTCCCCTGCTGGGGTGTTAGTTTGCCCTGGTAACACCAGAAGGGGCCTATCTGCCTCTCCCTTGGGGGAGCTTCTTGGCCTCCCTCCCGGAAGGTCTGGGCAGGTAGAAGGGCAGCTTAGCACCTCCTGCCCTGCTGTTATTACTGTAATACAAATTAATTGTTCTTAATAGAGGCCCCCATTACCTAGCACTTTCTCCCATTTACTCCTCACCACAGCCCTGTGGAGTTTGGGGATATTATTTCCATTTTATAGATTGAAGTTCAGAGAGGTCAGGGGTCACACAGCTAAGAGAGAGGTCAATCCCCAGAGGCCAAGCTTGGGGTCTGCCAATGGAAAATTCTGTCCTGGCCTAGTGGGACTGTATCCACCTGCCTACAATTCCATGCCATGCTTCTCTGAGCCCTCAGTTGAGCCCCTGCCCACCCAGTGGCCTTGGAGGGCGGTACACAGCCTGAGGTCTCAGGTTCACGGTCACCCTGCAAGGGGGCACCTGAGGACGGGACCAGAGTTTGTTTTCCTAAAGGCCCCCCCGCCCCTGGGCTGCCCAGTCCTGGCCCTATAAATATTCTCTGACCTCAGCCTTCCAGCCATGTTCCTGCTAGAATTCTCCTGACCCCTGGGCAGCCTCAAGGTCACGCTGGCCTAGCCCCGCTCACCCAGAAACCCAAGCAGGGCCCTTCCTCACTTGGACCTTGGTTTCCCCGTCCACGAATGGTGAATCCACCTCGTGTGTGTGTGACTTCCCATGGTTCCCTGCCCTGGCCATGATCCTCACCTCTGTGCTTGGGTCCTTGGTCACTGGCTGTCACTTTCCAGCTCTGCAGCCCAAGAACTAAGATGGAGTCTCTGGGGAGTTCCTGGGAGCTACTCCTCCAGGAAGGCTTCCCTACTGCCTGAGGGTTGAGGGCTTCTTGCTCTCTGGCAGGGCTGTGCCGGGGCTGGCGGTGGCTCCTCACAGCCTCTCAGGGTCAGGCACCTGGCTGGTGGGCTGGGGCTGGATGTGCATGCATGTGTCATGCATGTGTGCGTGTTTCTGTGTATACTTTGTACATCCTGTTGCCTGCACGTGTCTTAGCCAGGCTCTGCAGTTGTCTGCCTGTGTGTTTGTTAGCAGCTTGGAGACTGTATCTGTGTGTGCATTTGCATGTCTAACGTGTGTCCATTTATGTTCGACCAGCTGAGTGCTCACGTATGAAGGCGTTTGTACTTATGTTCCTCTATCACACATGCGTAGTATGTGTTGCATTCACACATTCTGGATTGAACACGTGTGTGTGTGTGTTTGTGTGTGTGTGTGTGTGTGTGTGTGTGTGAATGGACATGGTGGTCAGTGCACAGTGGGGGCATTTGTCTGTGTGTTCTTTTGTGGGTATGACAGTGCTGAGAGTGTCCCAGGACAGCTCAGGACTGGGCCTTTCTGGGGGACAAGGGACAGGTGGGGGCCATTCACTCTGTGGCTGGCCTGGCTTGCCCCAGAGCCCACCCCATCTTCGGGTGGGCTGTCCCATCCCTGCCTACCCCACCTGTCACCAGACCTCTCCCAGCCAGCAGGCCACTCGCCTGCCACCTCTGCTGGCTAAATTTGGGAGCTTATGTACAGTGGCCGTCTCAGGTTCCCAGTCACATGGGGGGCCGTATTTAACCCGGTTCCCAGCTCCGCCACCAGACCCCACAGGACAAAGCAGGCCCTAAACTCGTCCCTGTCCACTCTGCCTACTCATCCCCTACCATGTTTCTTGTTCTTATAGCCACAGAGGAGCTGAAGGAATTCTTTGCCAAAGCTCGGGCTGGCTCTGTCCGGCTCATCAAAGTCATCATTGAGGATGGTGAGTGCCCGCCATGGGCTAGGGCATAGGGGGGGGCTGGACCCACCTGCCTCTGGGGTGGGGGAAGGTGGGTGCTGGCCATCTAGCCCCCTCAGGACCTCAGTTTCCCCATCTGGGAATGGGAGTGAGTCACTCACAAAGAGGAGCCTCCCAGGGGAGCGTTGGGGGTGGGCATGATTGTCGCTCCTGTTATGCAGAGTGCTGGAGTCCTACCCAGCCCTGGAGGTTGCGAGGGTCCTGAGTTGGGCCTGGTCAGGAGGGGGTGAGTGAGTCCAGGCCCTGCCTGCGTGGCCAGTGCCACCCGCCTCCATCTGCTCGTGGTCGGCAGGCCTGGCCTGGGGAGACCGAAGGAGGTGCCTGGACCCTTCCCTTGGGAAGTGTCCCCATAGTGGGGAGAAGGGATTTGTGTCTGGCTCATTCTGAGAGCAGGATGGGAGGATTCCTGGCTCTGCCTCAGCCTGGATCCTAAGGACCTTGTTTGGGGGCAGTGCTGGGGGTGCAGGGGCCTGGGCTGAGGCCTGCAGTAGAGAAAGTTTGAGGAGGCAGAGGATTAGGCTGAGGCTGGGTCGGGGGCTCGGGGTAGAGGACTCCTCTGCACTTCCCTCACCAAGGGACTGTCCCTGGAGGCAAGGGGTACAGACTTTGGGATGGGGGTGGGCCAGGCCCCTCACGCGTCCCTCAGCCCTTCTCAGCAGCCATGCTGTAGTGGCCTTCGGGCGGCTGCCCGGATGGGCTTGCTACTCAGCTGGCTTTTCATATACTGACTTGGCTCAAAGCAGGGTCAGCCCAGACCCATAATTGACCCCAGGCTTTAGGGCTTTGCCCAGAGTCCCCAGATTCAGATACCCTCAGAGGCTGGGTAGGGGTCATCGTGGTAGGTCATGAGTGAAGGCCTCCTGGGGCAGCAGGCCACAGCCTCCCTCCCTTAAAGAGGCAGTTGCACTCACTGGCCCCAGTCCTCAGCCCTCCCTCTTGCCCCCCAGACACGATGTGCCTGCAGCTTTTAAGTAGGAGGAGTCTCTAGGTGGGCTCCTATCCCAGTTCTGCATTACAGTTGTGGGGGTACCTGGGAGCACCCAGGGGGGTCCAGCCCCCAACAGGCAGCCGCTGTCCATCTCCAACTGAGTGTGGCCCCAGTGTGGCCAGAGGTCCTGATTTTTCTAGAGAAACTGTGAATTCTACTTCTTATATAAAATTTCCCAGTTTGAAAATGTTAGTAGCAAATTAAACAATGTTGTCAGTGCTGTGGGGGCGACTCAGCCTGTGGCTGCTGATTTTCAACCCTGATCCCATCTGAGGTCCGGGTGGGCAGGTGAGGAGGCCGAGGCCCGCAGAGAGGCCGCTGGACTAGTGGGCCTGGCATATCGGGGTTCCCGGGCAGCTGAGGCCCTGCCCCCATCAGGAGGTGCCGGGACCCCCTGGCCAGGCTTATTACCCCTTTGCCCCAGTTCTTCCTCCAGCCTAGGCCTGTGCACACCTGGGCTAGTGTTTGGTGCCCTTCTGAGGTCCCAGCCCGCAGGTGTAGCCTGGTAGGTCCAGTGTGTGCCCAGCCCGATGCCCCATTCAGCCACTCTGCACCAGCCAAGGAGGTGGCAGGCCTGGTGGCAGCCAGGCATTAAGAAGTTGGCCGCTTTTGGTTTGTGACTTTTTGGGGAGGGGACTACAGCTAGGGGGATGGCTGCAGGATACCTGTTTATGCAGGGTTTGGTGGGAGCCCCTGCCTCCCTCTCTCCCAGATGATTTTGCCCCTGCAGGTCCCTGTGACCTGGGCTGTGACACCACCTCCCTCAGGACATTTGTCCTGAGAGGGGTCCGCTGGGGTTCTGCTGAGCCCTGGGCTGAGGGAGGAGGGAGCAGGAGGTGGTGCCATGGGGACTGTGCACTGAGTGGCTGTGCCAGTAGGGTGGGGTGCAAAGGAGCACCTAGGTGTGTGGGTGTCCTTGAGGGGCCGCACTGTTGGCTGTGGCACACGCTGGGTGTCGGCTGTTTGTGTTGGTGATCTGTGCGTGTGCGCGCGTGCTGGGGATGTGTGGAGGGAGCAACCCTTGCCAGCAGCTTTGTGCCCTGCTCACCCACTCACTGATTGAAGCACATAGCCTCATGTTTTGGGGCTGGGGGGGCTCCAGGGAAGGCGAGGGGAGGTGGCTAGCAGGTCTGAGCCGGCTCGGAAAGGCACAGTGAGGACGAGTCCACAGTCAGAGGTGAAGGCGGGAGATGGCTGCTCTCCAGCTCACCCAGCCTCTGCCCCCAGAGCAGCTCGTGCTGGGTGCCTCGCAGGAACCGGTGGGCCGCTGGGACCAGGACTATGACAGGTCTGTGCTGCCGCTACTGGACGCCCAGCAGCCCTGCTACCTGCTCTACCGCCTCGACTCGCAGAACGCGCAGGGTTTCGAGTGGCTCTTCCTAGCCTGGTCACCTGATAATTCCCCTGTGAGTCCTGGGGACCCCTGCCCAAGCCCAGGCTCAGGGCCAGTGGGGAGTGGGGAGGGCCCTACCCTGGGGAGCCTTGGTGGGGACACAGGCCTGCCCCAGGGAGGCTGAGGGAAGAGATATCAGGCCCTGTCCCAGAGAGTCTGAGAGAGGGACAGGGCCCTGTGCTTGGAGCCTGGATCCCTAGGGGTCGCGCAGCATCAGCCTGGCTCCTGGAGCTTGGGCTGGGTGAGGGCTGCCCATGCTGGTGGGAGCTGCCCCGCCATGTCCTGCACCCTGTGCCGCACCCTCTGCTGGGTGTGCGGGCGCAGTGGGAAGACCAGGTCCCCCAGAGGCTCCCACTCGCTCCCAGAGAGGCAGCCCTGCCCAGAGGGCTCTCATGGTTTGGCCCTGCCTTCAGGTGCGGCTGAAGATGCTGTACGCGGCCACACGGGCCACAGTGAAAAAGGAGTTTGGGGGAGGCCACATCAAGGATGAGCTCTTCGGGACCGTGAAGGTAGCTGCAAGGCCAGGACTCCCTGGGCCATGGTTGTGGGCCCACAGAGGGTGGGGCATTGTGTGGGGTCACAGAGCCAGTGCCAGGCTCAGGGGTAAGATGGGAAGGGCTGGGGGAGTCCAGGGGCTGCAAGCTGAAGTGCTCAGTGGGCTTCCTCTAGTCCACCCCAAGGTGCCCATTTGTGCCTCTGCATCTGCCCCCCCAGGACGACCTCTCCTTTGCTGGGTATCAGAAGCACGTGTCCTCCTGTGCAGCACCCGCCCCGCTGACCTCGGCGGAGAGAGAGCTTCAGCAGATCCGGATCAACGAGGTGGGTGTGCTGCGCAGGGCAGGCAGGAGTCCCAGCCCGAGGCCCTCAGGGTCACGCCAGGCCCTGCTGGCAGAGCCTGTGCTCCCTCACCATGCCCTGCCCGCAGGTGAAGACGGAGCTCAGTGTGGAGAGCAAGCAGCAGACCCTGCAGGGCCTCGCCTTCCCCCTGCAGCCCGCGGCCCAGCGGGCACTCCAGCAGCTCAGGCAGAAGATGGTCAACTACATCCAGCTGGTGGGTGCTCGTCCTGTGCCCTGGCACACACCCTGTGCCCCCCCCCTGCTCCCCTCAGCCTGCAGCCTACCCACTTCACCTTGCCTGTATGTTCGTGGGAACACACCGTCCACCCCACCCTTCCCTGTCCCTGCCTGTTCCACCTGGGTGCAGCCATGTGTATACGCAGACACAGCCTGCCCCCTCAGCCCTGGGCTCCTTCCTGTCTAGACTGCCTCTGCGGCCCCCTTGACCACCCCTTTCCTGGCAGGTCCTTCTGCCCTAGTGGTCCAGTCTGACCCCTTTCAAGCAGAATGGCTCCTCCCTTGCAAGGGGCTCCCCCAGAGGCCCCAGAGTGTCTCCCTGAGGCCGAGACCCTGTGTGCCGTCCCGCCCAGTGCCCTTGGTGGGAGTGCCTTCTCCAGGAGGGCCTTTAAAGGGGCAGAATTGGGGCTGAGCCCAGGAGTGGCCTCTTCAGAGGGACCGCCACAGAGGGACGGCCACTGGGGAGGTCACAAGCAGGCTTCCAGCCAGTCCTACTTCGGGGGTTTTTCTGGGGAGAGTGGGCCTGGGCCCTCCCCAAGCTGGTACCCTCCTTCTCCCCCCACCCCTTGGCAGAAGCTGGATCTGGAGCGGGAGACCATAGAACTGGTGCACACAGAACCCACTGACGTGGCCCAGCTGCCCTCACGGGTGCCCCGAGATACCCCCCGCTACCACTTCTTCCTCTACAAGCACACCCACGAGGGGGACCCCCTTGAGTCTGTGGGTGAGTGACCACAGCAGGGCTGCCAAGCCTGTGGCTGGGCAGGGCAGGGCTGGTCTACAGCTGGGTGGGCCTGCTCTGGGGGTGAAGGTCAGCAGGTTCCCCAGGCCTGCCTGGGCTCACCTCCCCTCCCCTCCCGACTCCCCACAGTGTTCATCTACTCGATGCCAGGGTACAAGTGCAGCATCAAGGAGCGCATGCTCTACTCCAGCTGCAAGAGCCGTCTTCTTGACTCTGTGGAGCAGGACTTCCAGCTGGAGATCTCCAAGAAGGTGGGTGCCCGTCCCTAGCACCCAGTCACCCCAACCACACGTGTGGCATTGGAATCCTGAGACGACGGCAGAGCAGGAATCACTGCTGCTGTGTCGATCGTGGGGAACCTGAGGCCTAAGGGGAGACACGCCTTGCCCAAGGCTGCCCAGCTGATTGGTGGCACAGACGAGCCCAAGCTCTGCCCACCACATTTTCTCCTTTCCCTGGGGGCGGCAAGGGGGTGACTCAGGCAGGCAGAGACCAAGGTTTTGATCCTGGGGGTGGCATTGCAGGTGGGATCTCTTGGGGGAGAATCCAGGGCTGGGGTATGAGAGATCAAGGGGTGCCCCAGGCATGGGAGTTACCAAGGGTGGTGTGTGTTGGGGCCCCACCATTGGGGTGACCACTGCCTTGCCCCATGCAGATTGAGATTGGTGATGGGGCAGAGCTGACGGCCGAGTTCCTCTATGACGAGGTACACCCCAAGCAACATGCCTTCAAGCAGGCCTTCGCCAAGCCCAAGGGCCCGGGGGGCAAGCGGGGCCACAAGCGCCTCATCCGCGGCCCCGGCGAGAATGGGGATGATAGCTAGGTGGCTGGACCTGAGCCGGGCCGGCGTGTGGACTATGGAGCCACCCACCCTGCCGCTCCCTGCCACCTCCTTTCTTCCCAGCCTGGGCTCCAGGAAAGTGCTTCCCGTGGGGCAGGAGGGGTGGTGGCTGAACACAGTTGCAGCTTCTGAGGGCCACCAGGCTGGCGTTTTATGACCCTTCCGTGTTGCTGTCCCTGCCTCTCAACTCTGTGCCCAGGGTGTCTGGGGGCCCTGCCTGGCTGGCTCAAGGGAGCTGGGTGGGGGGCCTGACATGAGCTTGGCCTCCAGGGGCACTGAGACTAGGGTTCCAGCACAGCCCAGAAGTCTTTGGCCACAAGGGCTGGGTCACTGCAGGACAGGATGGTTGAATGCTGTATTTTCTAAAGAATAAAATATTTTTAAATCAAGACTGAGCCTGGCCTTCGGAGACCACCTCTGGCCCTGGGAATCGGGCAGCCCTGTGCATAAAACTGCCTTCTCCCAACTCAGGAGGGGCCTGTCGGCCTGGCAGGTGGAGCCCCTCCACTGCTGGCTGCAGGTGTGTGGGACAGGCTGTGTCTGTGTGTAAGGGCACAGGCCTTGCCCAGGTGTCCTGGTGGACAGCGCCCTGCCCAGGAGCAGGCATACCTCCCCTGTGATGTGGGGGATCTGGGTGTACTCGTTTCCTGTGGCTGCTGTAACAGATTACCACAAACATAGTGGCTTCCAAAAACCCACAAGTTTCTCTTACAGCTCAGAGGCTAGCAGTCTGAAATGAGTGTTACGTGGCCAAAATCAAGGTGTTGGCAGGGCTGCTTCCTCTGGAGGCTTGGGGAGCATCCAGTTCCTTGCCCTTGCCAGCTTCTAAGGGCTGCCTGCATTCCTTGGCTTGTGGCCCCTTCTTCCATCTTCAGAGCCAGAGGCGCCTTCTCTGATTCTGCTTCCATGGTCACGTGGCCCTCTTCTCCAGTTAAATCTCTCTGTCTCCATTTTAGAAGAGACACTGGTGATTACACTCATTTTCCCTGCCCCCTGCAACCTACCATCTCAAGATCCATGACTTAATTTTGTCTGCAGAGTCCCTTTCACCGTGTCAGGTCACATGTTCACAGGCTTGGGGGTTAGGACGTGGGTCTCCACTTGGATTATGCAGCCTTCTACCTGGACAGGGGCTCTTCTCACTAGGCTTCCCAGCCCCCATGGGGCTGAGGCCATGGTGGGTGTTTCTGGTACGTGTGTGTCCAGACTTCTCTGCCAATTCATCAGCCTCCCTCCAGGGCCTGCTTTCCTGCCCCTGGGGGAGGCAGGGCAGCTGCTGGGCATGGGGAATGTGGGGTTGATGACTGCAGTTCAGGTGCTGAGTGGGCGCTGCCGTCTCCCCTGGCTCAGGGCAGTGTCCCATCCCTGGGGCCTTTCTCAGCCCCTACTAAAGGCCCTAGGGCGGCAGGGAGGAGAGCCAGGACCCTGGCCAGGACCCAGACGAGGCCTGTCCTTGCCCATCACCTCCCAGGGGGAGGAAGACAATGCCATCGTCCCACACTGCTGAGCCAGCTGGCTGCCGGGCACCATGGAGCCTGCCTACCGTGACACCACCCAGAGGTGGGCCTGAGAGCAGCCAAGTGGCACACGTGCAGCCCTGCCTCCCCCACAGCAGCCCCACTTGTTCATTCATTCAGCCTTCGCTCAAGACACCCTCCCTGTGCCTGTGTAGGGCTGAGTGCTGGGGACCCATAGGTTCAGCAAGTATTGGGCACCTACTGTGTGCTGGGCACTGTTCTGAGACCTGGGGATACAGACAACAGATCCCTGCTCTCAAGAAGCTGGCATTTCAGCAGGAGAATAAGACAATCTGCAATGAACCATGAAAAATCAATGCTATGGGCTGTCAGCAGTTGGAAAAATGTTATGACAGAAAAGTGGAGCAGGCAAAAGGGCTCAGGGGTGCCAGGTCTGGAGGGGGTGGTGTTTACAAGAAGATCAGGGAAGGCATCACTGAGAGGGTGACGTGGGGGCAGAGACTTGAAGGAGGCAAAGGAGGGGCCCAGGTGAGAGTCTGGGAAAAGAGCTCCCAAGCAGAGGGAACTGCATACCCCAAGCCTCTGAGGCGGGAGAGTGTCTGGGGTGTTCCAGCAAGGGGAGGCAGCTCAGGGAGGCAGTGGGAGGCAGGTCCCATAGGACCTTGCTGGCCATTATGTGGACTGTGGCTTTGACTTCAGAGATGGCCGTGAAGGGCTCTGAGCAGAGGAGGGACCCAGTATGACTTAGGCTTGAACAGGACCCTGCAGGGGCCGACTTGAGTAGGCTGAGGGTGGAAAGCAGGACATGGCAGCCAGGAGGCGGTGGCACCTCTACGGGTCTAGGCCAGACGATGGCGGTTCAAACCTGCTGGTGGACATGTGGGTGGTGGGCGGTGGGCAGATTCTGCAGGTGGAGGCAGCAGGACCTGCTGAGGTGTCCGGGGGCACCCTGGGGCTGTGGGCCTGAGTACACTGAATTCCGATCACTGGGGGCTGAAGGGGCCTGGGAAGACCCACTGGGGAGGATGAGTGGGGTCCCAGCTGGGCCGGTGTGTCCGCCTTCCGGGAGCCCTGGAAATGCAGAAGAGGAGGTCCTATTCCAGGAAGAGGTTGCAAGGCTGTGGTGAAGGCAGGTGCAGCCCCAGCCTCCGCTCAAGCTGTCCCCTGCCCCTGCACTCGAGGCCCCCCCACCACACACACTGGGGATGGCCCTGCAGAGGCAGGAAAGGATGGGTGGGGGAGCCACTGTCCTGAGAGTGCCGGCCATGGGCAGGGGCTGAGGCATGAGGGTGAAGAGTCTTCTTGGGATGGGGGAGGGCCTGGCAGGCGCGTCCGTCTCTCACTGCCCTTAGGCTGGGCTCTGGGCATTAGTTCCTCCCCAGACTTCCCAGAGGACAGGTGTGAGGCCCTGGCGGGATGCAGGCTGTCTGGGAGGGGAGTGGAAAGAGGAAGGGGTGAAGGAACTGTCTGCCATCTGACTATGCAAATGGCCTCTGACTCATGGGACCCTGGCCCCCTCGCCATGGGCAGGATGGAGTTGTGGGGGGAGCTAGACTGTTTTAAAATTCTCACTTCCTCTGTTCTCTGAGCCGCTGCTGTCTCTGAGGGAAGGGACCCAGAGTGCTCTGAGTGCGAAGCATCCTTCCCTGCAGCTGCTGCTCAGCCTGCCAGCCAGACCCTCTGGAGAAGACCCTACTCCCCATCATGGTAGGACAGCAGCTCTCAGCCCCCTGGGGAAGGGGATGGCCTGGGAAAGGATGGGCAGAGAGGTGGGCTTGGTGAATAGGGCTGTCACCCACATGGCCCTGGGGACACTCACTGAAGCCTGAAGACATCAGAGCAGAAGCTCTTTCCTGAGGAGTGAGACCAAAGCCACTGGGGGCACAAGGAGGCTGAGGCCACGGGCTTCAGGCAATGGCAGGGCTGGGGCTATGTGCCCAGGTGCATGCACCTGGGGCTGGCCCCTGATCTGTTGCTGACCACAGCAGGCAGAGGGTGAGAGAGCTGGGCAGTGGGAGGGGCTGGGGGAGGCTGGCAGAGGGCAGAGAGGGGATTTGGGAGTGGCAGGAGGGGAGGGAGCCAGCTGCCACCTTGCTCAGGAGGAAAGAGAACTGGCCTCAGGATAGGGGGCCGGGGCCTGTGGGCCGTCTTGCCTGGCTCTTCTGTCCAGCTGAGTTTGGCTATGAGTGAAAGCTCTAAATCGTGAGCTGATTCCAGGTCTCAGTCCCAGTTCTGAGTCCCGATTCTGAGTCAAAGGCTGGGTCTGAGGCCGAGCTCAGGTTCCCCATGAGACTTGGAGGGGGAAGGGGCTCAGCAGCCAGGGAGGAAGCTCCGTGAGGCAGGCTCGGAGAAAGGGGCAGAAGCCCTGCTGAAAGACCCCCAGGAAGTGGAGGGACTGGAGGTGGAGCTGGGGGCTGGACACTCACACAGCCCCACCCCCACCCCACAGGGTTCCTGCCACGGTGCCCTGCACCCCCTGTCTCTGCTGGTGCAGGCTGAGGCACTGGCTGTGGCCCTGGCTCTGGGTACCCTGCCTGCCTTCCTCCCCTGTGAGCTCCAGCCCCATGGCCAGGTGAACTGCAACTGGCTGTTCCTCAAGTCTGTGCCCCACTTCTCCGCGGCAGCACCTCGTGGCAACGTCACCAGCCTTTCCTTGTCCTCCAACCGCATCCACCACCTCCGTGACTCTGACTTTGCCCACCTGTCCAGCCTGCGGCGTCTCAATCTCAAGTGGAACTGCCCGCCGGTCGGCCTCAGCCCTATGCACTTCCCCTGTCACATGACCATCGAGCCCCACACCTTCCTGGCTGTGCCCACCCTGGAGGAGCTGAACTTGAGCTATAACAGCATCACCTCTGTGCCCGCCCTGCCCAAATCCCTTGTGTCCCTGTCCCTGAGCCGCACCAACATCCTGGTGCTGGATGTTACCAGCCTCGCGGGCCTGCACGCCCTGCGCTCCCTATATGTGGACGGCAACTGCTATTACAAGAACCCCTGCAGGCAGGCACTGAATGTGACCCCAGGCGCCCTCCTTGGCCTGCGCAACCTCACTCACCTGTCACTCAAGTACAACAACCTCACAGAGGTACCCCGCAACTTGCCTCCCAGCGTTGAGTATCTGCTGTTGTCCTACAACCACATTATCAAATTGGTGCCGGGGGACCTGGCCAATTTGACTGCCTTGCGTGTGCTTGATGTGGGCGGAAATTGCCGCCGATGTGACCATGCCCGCAATCCCTGCATGGAGTGCCCGCGTGACTTCCCCCAGCTACATCCTGATACTTTCAGCCACCTCAGCCATCTTGAAGGCCTGGTGTTGAAGGACAGTTCTCTCTCCTGGCTTGACACCAGATGGTTCCGTGGTCTGGGCAACCTCACAGTGCTGGACCTGAGTGAGAACTTCCTCTATGACTGCATCACCAAGACCAAGGCCTTCCAGGGCCTGGCACAGCTGCGCAAGCTCAACCTCTCCTTCAATTACCACAAGAGGGTGTCCTTTGCCCACCTGCGGCTGGCATCCTCCTTCGGGAGCCTGATCTCACTGCGGGAGCTGGACATGCATGGCATCTTCTTCCGCTCGCTCAGTGAGACCACGCTCAGGCCGCTGGCCCAGCTGCCCATGCTCCAGATTCTGCGTCTGCAGATGAACTTCATCAACCAGGCCAACCTCAGCATCTTTGGGGCCTTCCCTGGCCTGCGCTATGTGGATCTGTCCAACAACCGCATTAGTGGAGCTGCAAAGCTGGCAGCCACCATGGGGGAGGCAGATGGCGAGGAGAAGATCTGGCTGCAGCCTAGGGACCTTGCTCCAGCCCCACTGGACACCCCTACCTCTGAGGACTTCATGCCCAACTGCAGGACCTTCAACTTCACCTTGGACCTCTCAGGGAACAACCTGGTGACAGTCCAGCCG